CGATGAGAGTGTCGCCAGGCTTGATACGGCCTTCCTTCTCGGCCTCCTCGATCATGCGAAGGGCGATTCTGTCCTTGACACTGCCGCCGGCGTTGAAGAGCTCGACCTTGCCGTAGACCTGGCACTCGATACCGAGTGACTGAGGGATCCTGTTGAGGCGGACGAGGGGGGTGTTGCCGATCAACTCGGTGGCCGACATGGTAAGGCCGGGGTTGCGCTCAACGGGGCCGTTGGTAGTATCGCCAGACATGTTTGCGATTGATTTTGATTTTTGGACTAACGAACGGTAGGGGATAAAGGGTAGAAGGAAGTCGGGACGGTTTGTTGTCGAGGGAGAGCAGGGAAATTTCTGTCTTTTTATCGTACGAGGATTATTGTGGGGGCTTTGTCCTCGTTTGGTTGTAGGCTTCAGTTCCGTTGGATGGACACCCACTCGCTCGACCAGGACAACGACGAGAAACGCGCGGGGTTGGTTTGGGCAGGGAGGATCAGGAAAGAATTTCACGAAATAGAGGAGTTGGCGATCAACAGGAAATGGTGATACAATCTAGGTCTACATATTTATCTTGCTCTCTATCGTGATCAACAGCGACCTGTTGGTAGCAGGTATATCGACAGGGCAGAAACCGCGATCACGGGGAGGTGATAATGCAGGGAGGGGTTGTGTACTAGGAAATCAGGAACGGCATGTGTAAGAAAGCGGTCCAGTTCTCAGGTGACGGCGTGACGGAATTGGTGAATCAACTTTCGCCATTTCACCGTTGTGTCACTTAGTTATGTGTCCCCCTCCCAAACTCCCACCGCTTGGCTCACCTGGCTCATGATGATGCCCAAAACCGATGATATGCGCCCACCTTCCCTTTCCCTCGGGCTTCGAGTGGTCCCTTCTCGGCTTCCAAAGATCCACAGAAAGTTTCTAACGCCAAGCGCTAATTGCTGGCGGGGATTGAAAAGCACGGGCCAGTTGTGCTCTTTTGCTTGCACGTGCTTGGACACGTCGTTTGAACGGTTCGGTGATGTTTTCACAAAGACAGGGATGGGCAGTCCGCTAACGGCCCTCGTGATGGAGACATGACATTAGCTCAACAGTGGAATCCGGGGCAAAGTTGAGCATCAAGTTGTCTTGTTTAGGTTGGTTTGTTGTCTTCGCTGAGGCCCTGATCGGCTGGCTGCACATCTGGGTCGTGCAGAGGATTTTAGAGGTTTGGTTACAATACAAATGGATAACCTCTTCTTTTACCAAAGCCGCCTTCCCTTTTTCGTCGATATACGGGCCTCTTTTTACCTCTGCACGCGCATTCGCCAAGACACAATGTACCTTCTTCTCCACCAGGTCCACCTCTAAGCCAAGCGCCAATAAAAATTCAAGGTTCGTCTACACGCCGTCCCTTATTAACGGTTTTTTGGCGAAATCGACAATGGTCCTCAGACTACTCTTGTAGAGCTCGTGCAGAATACCTCGTGCAGACACCTCGTGTAGACGACGATACTTTCTCTTCGCCCTACCCAGAACTCTACACCTCTTAAGTACCCAAAACCCTCTGCACGCCCCGAGAGTGCAGCCAGCCGATCAGGGCCTGAGTGAGTATCAGTTGCTGTGCTTTTCAGGAAGGAAGATGGTATCGATGATCTTTTCTAACGGTAGCGGCCAAGGCCCGTTGACATTTGGAGGAAAGCAATGATGATTGTCCATCTTAGGAGACCTTCGCAATGAGGTGCTTTGCATTCAGGAGAAAGATCAATCAATAAAGTCGGTGCAAAGCAAACTGCAATAACGATCTCAAAATCGAATCTCCAACACTGCCAAAATGTCCAACGGTACGGCAGGCGTCATTGAAGCAGTAGCCAGACACAGAGACACTCAGACCACACGGACAGACCGTCAGCCGTCAGCAGCTGCACAAAATTTCCCGGAATTTGCACTCGTGCACAGACCATCCAAACCCTCTATTTAACAGCAGCTCCCCTCCCCCAATTCTTCCTCCTCTTCTTTTCTCTTTTTTTTTTCTTCATACTTACCTTGACTGACTACGCGGAGATCAAGAAAACCGCGTAGTACGGTGGTGAGCCTGCATTGCACATCGTGGTGCTCGCCGCCGTGAATTGCCCTTCGGGGCCGTTCTGGTCGTAATTTTTGATGTCAAGCCAATTATGCAATTCATTGCAAACCAATTTTCTTTTTCAATGTGTGCTCGGCCTGCTTGGTCGTGCCATAGGGAAGAAGATGATGGTGATCCTTTTGTGATGCTGAGTGCGTGCGACCGGCGCTTATGATGCACCGTGCCCTTGTTGTCCCGTGCATTTGTCAAAGCTGCCGATACTGGCGATGGAATCAATTCACTTGAATCTGCCCGACGCTAACGAATAGGCTTTTGTTAGCTGGGCTTTGGGCATGTCAGCCGAGCGCTTTGTTGTGTTTTTGAGTTGCAGTGGTTCGTTGGTTCATAGGCTGGCTGGGCGCCAAATCGGACAGGTTCTAGCGCTTGCTTAGCGGTCTTGGTGGTGGTTTGTTAGCGAATCGCGGGGGAAAGAAGACGGCAAGTGCATTTTTGAAGGTGTTGTTTGTGCAAATGCATCCTGGTTCTGGCCAAGTTGACCGGCGACGCGATGTGAAAAGGGTGTCTCGCCTGTTTGGCGCTAAGTGTTGCGAACTTGAGAGACGAGGGTGTGCCTGGCTGGGGGTGATGTTATGCTTCCCGCTCTGGAGTTTTCAGTGTTTGGAGTGGCTCGCCGGTCTGAAGATACGCTAATGGAAGAGAAGAAAATTGCCGCTGGTGTTTAGTAAGGTATCTACTGGAGATGGAGGGTGTTGCTCATGAAATCAAGTAAAAGTAGCGCATTTGTAAGGAAGAAGGGCTTGGGAAAGATTATCGTAGATACATACAGCAAGGATCAGATAGAAAAGATGCTTGTATAGGACCTAAGCATGGAGCTATACTCGGGAGCCATTCTGACTATCTGATGACAATATCGACACTCATATTGTCCATCTCGTTCCCTGTGTAACCTCTCTAGGTTGTTGTGCTTTTCCAACTTCGTCCACGATAGAGTACCCCTGTCCGTCATTATCATGGCATTCCCAAGGGAGAGAACTCATCATTATTATAAGACACAAAACCTGTGCTTCGGTCTGCGACATACAGTTACAGAGCGCAATATCTACTTTAGGTTCTCCGTTGACTGGTGTTCCGGACACACCCAGCCCAGAAAGAACCTAGAGGAACTCGGGTACCTGCGAGACGAGTTGCTAATGTGTAGTGTTCCGCAACCCTTGCTACCTTATTGAGCTAGAATACCTGAAGAATAACCGCGGTGTCGTTGGACGACTCGGGCAGTTTAGGTGAGCAGGAAGCCTTGACAAAGAAGTCTTGTTTGTAGATGTCCTACGTCGAGCCATCAACTAGCGCATAACCTCGAGGTACTCGACACTCCGTTGAGTATCCTCAAACTGGACGTCGTATCGATGTGGGAGCAGAGCAGTGGCTCAAAAAGGACAGAACGCGAAAGGCGATTGCCTACCGTATCCTCCTAGGATTGAAACTGAAAGGCGCAACTTGCTCTCTCTTCATCAGTCGCACTCGACTTCTCGTAATAGTGTCCGTTTGAAGGCCACGAGGATACCAAGACCACAAGGTACGATGGGTGCAACATGTCATGCCATTTGATCGGCTCGTACCTGAACTCAAAATGCAAAATCGTTAGCTGCTTTTCTTCGGTCTGCGATCTTCCTTACCGTGCTCTTTGAGCGCATGTCATCGTGTCACGCAGCTCAAGTACACCATCGTGAGGACCTCGCTCGGACGTGGTGTCAAGAGATGGGGACATAGGTATGCTACCTAAAAATGGCTATCCATTCTCATCCCAACAGGGCGTTATTCGCTTTGCTCATCGGCGGTCGATGCGACTACGTCCCGAAAGCGAGAATGACACAAAATGCAAAGTGGAAACCTCCTTCCAGGTGGGATCGCTGCTGGGTGGCGGCAAGCTTTCAGGTACTAGTACACAGTAGTTGGGACAATTGCCCGCTGAGCAACGGTAGAGGTTCTGTGTTGTGAGCTGCATGAGTGCATGTCGGGAAGGGACGATGGGCCCCTCGCAGTCTTATCCACAGGACGGCAGCCCGGGTCAATCCCATTGTCGGGCGCAACTACCTTGTGGTTGCCCGAAAACGATTGAAACTGCTCGCGCCTGCTTTGCTTCCCGTACAATAACGAGAGCGTGTCGGCGACGACGACGACGACGACGACGACCATACGCAAAGAGTCGCCTTGTAGTACTTATGATGTCTTCCCGCATCCAAAATCTCATTGCGCCCTGTTCGACGGCCTACCTCGACACCCGATACGTTTTTCCGTCTACGAACATTTCCAAAATGCAAAAATCTGGGTCCTCATCAATCGCTCGACAACATGGATCAAGCAAGTCCAGAGATGAACTTCCCTGGAAGCCTCCTTTTGCTTCAAGCGGCACGACTACAGTCCCGACGGCGAACCGACGGCGCGGACCAAAAGGACTGATGGAGCCCGTCATTTCCACGCTTACGCCGTATTCTACAGAACACGGAAGTACGAACCCCGGTTGAGGGTTTGGGAGAATGACGCGGGCAAACCATCCAGAGCCCGACAGCAGATGTTCTTGGTTGGATCGTGTGGATTCCCACGGCCTCGAACTAAGCAGCGAACAGCGGGATGGAGAGCGGTCGAGTGAGCCACAACAACCTTTACCAAGGGTAATTTGTCAATTCGCTTGTTGGTCATGGCTATGGAAGAACAGAAGGGGGACAGACGGTGAGTGGTAAGGCCAAGGGGTCATCAAATTCAACCACAGACACGATTGGCAATCGATCATGGAAGTATAACTAGTCGGGTTTTGAGGAATTGAAAGCGACATCTCAACTGTCTCACTCATCCCTCGGTCGTCTCTCTGTCAGTCTCGCTCCAAACCGGTACAAAATCGACCACCAATATCGCAACGCAGCCCCGAATCAAACATCACGGACTATGCCAGATCCACGCCGTCCAGATCGTACCAATAATGCCCGAGTCTTCACGGCAGCCGACCTTTTCCAGCAGATCGCTCGGTCGGAGGCTCAGAGACGCCAGGCAGACAGCAATCAAGAAGTGGCGCCGCCCTACACCTTTCGCCCTACTGCTGGAGAAGCTACGATTGGCTTTAACTGCGATACCTTGGCGGAACCCCCCAGTTACTCGCATTGCATGTCAACAAGCCGTATCCATACTGACCAGGAACTGAGGAGTGAAGAGGCAGTAGGTGATTACCGCGCTAGATCTAACGAGCTTGCAGCTCCAGCAGCGCGTTCGGTCCCTACTGAAAGTGCCAGTGCCACGACAGAGGCACAAGGACAAGCTCGCTCATCCGGCATACCTCCCCCTCCATACGCGGCCCCGGCCACAGATACTCGGGCTAGTAGGACGGCCACCTAAGCTGAAGAAACGAGTAGAAGTGCTTATCCGCGAGAGGGACCAAACAGGTGGTACATGGGCAGACATTGAAGTCGTGTTAGTCAAGAGAAGATTGACGTGGAGGGGACTTGGAATTAGGAGCTTTAGAACGTGGCACAAATGGCAAGGATCGTTGTTGGTTCATACGTTTCCCTCCTACTAATTCTGTGATTCTGTCAAATTACTTCTCACTGCAGTTGCTGAACGCATGCCCATCCACTCATTCAGCCACTGGATCGTGAAGAGCCCCCCATCACCAACACTCAGAAACTCATCGAAACGAACTGACGAAACATCACACGGTCCTTGACCTCATACCTAACTCTCCGTTGACATCCTCAGGAGGCAGATTGACGACCATGGAACTTGCTGGGGACGCTACGCTTGCATGGTTGCCGGGAGAAAAATTGCTATGTTTGAAAGCTCTGGTTCGCACACTGGTACAAAAGCAGCTCGGCGCTTTCTTCGGCCAGAACGAGCTACCAAGACCGGCACAGTCATTACAAGAGTAAGAACCTACCTATTGATTCAGGCAGTTGGGGAGACGTAGCTAAAATGTTTATCACTACTCTTTGTGACTCCTTCATCACGTCTTGGGTTCTTTATATTCGTCTATCGAGTCTACCACGGGCAGTACATAACACAAATTACCTACTCGACTCATGCTACGCAGGGTTAAACTCCCCGTCAACAATTCCTTATGTAGAGCACCTAAAAGTTCAAGCCCTATCCCCTTCCATCTCGGCCACCGAGAGCTAGGAAGTGAAGCGCATTATTATCGAGGATGCAAGTGTCCCCCGCGCCCGCCATCGCATGGAGTGTCCAGTAGCGGGTGCACCGCTCGCGCTTGGAAGGCAGGGACGCGCACCAGCTAGTGATTAGCGGTACTTGTAGAGTTGGGTTGATCCATCTGCCCCTCGTCTCGGTGTTGATAAGCACCCAAAGCTGAGTGCTCAGTTCATCGACGAATGCGTCGGAAGTGCCGGTCGTCGTGCCATCCGTTGTGTCGGTCATGATGCTTTCGTTTGTCGTCTTTCTTTGTCATAATCGCGATGGTGACTGGAGAGTGGAGAAGGAAGGACGACTTCGCCAGCACATGATACTTGGAGAAGGAATGAAAGGCACAGCAGAGGGGCACTACCCAAGACAGTCTGTGGAAGCACTATCGCGTCACAGGAAGGGAGGACTCAGCTTCGTCCCATCAGCCCTCGTCCACCCGCTTCCCAAATTTTCTTAGCATTCAAGTCAAGCCAGTACAAACGGAAATACCATCCAACTAGGTGTCTGTGTTGACAGCGTGCCATACGTTTGCCATACCCAGAGCACAGGCATGCCGCGGTATCTTGTTAGGCTGGCTGGTTTGAAGCCAGTCTGCCCTGAGTATAGTGTCGTGGGTAGCGACGTCTGCGTCTGCCGGTTGGAATACTAACTCGAATGGAGCTGTATTTCTTTCATCCAGAATCCCTCCCTCTGAGTACTTTGGGAAACGCCAGTCTTGCTCAGGGGGGGAGCGTTTGCTATTATTGAATGAACTGTTTGCGGCATCGATGACTGTAACAGACTCAGAGCCGCAATGGCGACATGGAGGGACATGGAGTGGCTGGACGTCATGGAAGGTGAAGGGGCCTAAGATGAGATGAAGGAAAACACTCCTGACTGCAGTAAGAAAACAATAGCAGACCAAACCGCTGTAAATCACACAATGTTGTTTGCGTTATGCTTCACTGGGAGCTTGACGGCTTGAGGAGAATTATGACCTGTCCACACTGTTGCGTGACTTCAGACGAGAAGGTTTCGTTGATATGGCTGCAGCTGGCAGTCTTTCATCTGTTCCTCTCCTTCTGACAAGGCCGTCTGAATAAGATATCAGTGAAGTCCAAAACCCATTCACCTGAGAGTAGGAACTTGTCGCGGTGGGTCACCCTTGGTGTATTTATACCCCTCCTCTTTGATCAAACTCTTTCTCTTTCTCCTTCCACCACTCAACTCAGGAAGATCAACCAAAAGCAGATTCAAAATTCGACAAGATCTTCACACACGCTTCACCCCACTTCTATATACCCCTTGCAACAACAACGTCACCATGGGACTGCCTCTCTACCGTTCCCCCTCAAGCGAGGCCCTTCGCCGTCAGGCCGCCAACCAAGCGGCAAACCAACAACAGCAACCTGACCCGCGCCGCGCAAGGTCCGGCGCCCCTCCCCCTCCTCTCCGTCGCGAAGATGCCCAGCGGCTCTTCTCCCAAACCCCTTCTGAGGCAGCAACTGGTACCCAAGAGCGGCCTATCGACCTGACCCGCCGCTCCCTCGAAGTCGAGGCTCCACGTCGCCCTGTTCTCCCTCCCCGCTTTGCAGCTCCCATCCCGTCAACGGAAGACGAAGAGAGTGCCGCGGCGGCAAGTGCCGTTTTGTCCAGGTACAGCCGGACAAGCTTCAACTCAAGCGAGTTGGCTACCCCTGCCGAAGAGGAAGAACTTCGTCTCCCGGACTACGGCACTCCGGATATGGATTGGTCGACTCCCGAGATTGAGGCGGCTAGCACTCCTCCCCGCCCGGAAGCCCAGGCTTCAAGTGCCGTTTTGTCCAGGTACAGCCGGACAAGCTTCAACTCAAGCGAGTTGGCTACCCCTGCCGAAGAGGAAGAACTTCGTCTCCCGGACTACGGCACTCCGGATATGGATTGGTCGACTCCCGAGATTGAGGCGGCTAGCACCCCTCCCCGCCCGGAAGCCCAGGCCTCCGCACCTGCCGCTCCCCAGCAGCCGCAGCAGCGTCAGCAACAACAAGTGGCAGGCCCATCTCAAGCCGCTGCAACGCAGGAACAGCAGCGCCAGGCAAGCGGCGGCGGTCGTGGCGGCTTCGTTCAGGTCGTCGTGAGCCAGGACTCAGGCCTGGCGCAAGTCCAAGTTCAGGGTAGCGGAGAAGGTCAAACCATCCCTCCTTCCCTCCGCCTTCCTCCCCTTCCTCGGCCGTCGGACGCGACGATTCGAGGTGCTCGACGGCAGAGACTGGGGCAGTCGGGTACGGCGACCCAAAATACAAGCAGCACAGCCAGTCAACGCAGCAGAAGCGGTGGAAGCGGTGGAAGCCGCTCAGCTGATCAGTCGTCTCGGATGCGGAGCGATAGATCTGGGTATTAGGTGGAGGATGAGGGCTCGACTAGAAGGAGGCTGGCCAGGGGTGGTGGGAAGAAAAGGGTCTGCTCTTGATGCAACTCCGGTTTGTGGTCGGCACTTTTTCTTTTGGTGTCATCTTCGAACAAGTCTTCGGTATCGAGGTCGCAGGCATTCAGACCAGCAAGTGGTGGACAAATGGATGCGGTGGCACATTTGATGGAGAAGCATGGTTCGGTAGCAGACAAGGGTCATAGAAACAATTCTGACTTTCCGATCGGCTGGTTTGGGAAGTTCAGAGGAGTCAGGCGTTGATAATTCGTCATGGAAGAGGACAGATATTCCCAGGGGCATATTAATACCAGTTTTACCAATGCAAGAACAAAGAGCGCTTGTTGAAAATGAATGACGCATGTGACATTCCAGTCGTGGCCAGCCTCAATGCAAATATCTGCACTAACACATTTGACATGTGTCACTTCCAGGCCGTGGACAATTATCCCTCTTCGCGTCAATCACATCAACCTGATTTTCTCATTACATTTTGCATGCTCGCATTTGCCTCGATGAATTTGAACTTGTCGAGACACCATGCAAAGTTCCATCCTTCTTGATTCTAAAATTCTCATGTGGTCTCTTCTTGCATGGGGAAGGAAGTACTGAACTGGACCCAGATCAGGTACAGGCATGCACAAATGATGTGACCCTAGAACCGACATAATCGCCGTCGGAGGAAAGGCTACCATCTTTCACAGGAGATGTATTTATACCGGCCCTGGGCCCAGGAACTCCTTTTCTTCTTTGCTCTCTTCTTCCCTTCAACCAGCGCGCCAATCAAGCACTTCTCCCCCACCAATGCTCTCCTTTATCTCCTTCAGTCGGAGGACTTCCGATCTCCGATCCTTCCACTCAACCACAACTCTTGTTTTAGCTGTGCTAGAGCTGCTACCAGTTATACTTCCCGGCCTTGCCCGAATCCCTCCCTGTCCATACAGCTGCTCCTCATCCACAACTGATATGGGCCTTCCGCTTTACCGAAGCCTGTCTCAACGCCAGCAAAAGTTGGACCGCATGCCACTCGATCCCAAAATGATGACAGAAACGACAACTATCCGGATTATTACCCCGGATGAGTTGATGTCCATTCCACTTGATGTTCAAGGCTCGCTTATCTCAAGGGATACCTCCCCCGCATCAGAACCTACGAGCCCGCGGCAGACTTCACCCCACATAACCCGGCAGAGAAGTGGCACCGGATCTCAAGCTCCATCTCCTCCAGATTTTGCTCGCCGTCTTTCCAACTTGAATCAAAGCATCAACGCTCTGCAGCGGGAACTCAGACGAGGAGGAAGGCCACGGCGGGCGGCACTTAGAGGCCCTGTTTTCTCCGAGCGTACTCCTGCTGTCGATATTCAGGAAAGAGGAACCCAGTTGCCAGATCCAATTCTGTTTACATCCACTACTCTAGGCGTCTCCGTTGATGAGGATTGCACTACCAGAATAGGGGTACCTGCACCTACAGCGGGAGAGACCTGGATGTATAGACTCTATGATCGGCCGGGGTGTTGCGACTGTCCTGGATGTCGGCATGTATGGGGTAATGAGGAGGGAGCTGACCGTTGGCTTAGGTGAAGGAGGTTTTGGGATGCGTATGGGGAAGGACACGCAGTGAGTGCCTCTGGTGTCATACCTCCAAGTAAGTTGGCCATGGAACTAAGAGATAATTTGCGTGGACAGCTAACTACCTTATACGCGTCTTTTAGTTCCGTGTGCAACAGGGATTTGAGATTGTTTCCATGCTTTGGAGGAAGAAGAGGATACCTAGTCGTAGACTAGAGGGACATGATAGGACCAGCAAAACGCTCAACTGCTCCGCGAGGCCAAGCTTGGCAACACGATCTATGGCAGGTCTGGAAGAGGTGATATATTTGTAAGTTAGTTCCATTGGAGTCTTATCGTACCCTCCCAATGAATACAATACTCCAACCGCTTATTTCTCGTTACAAGCATTCACGGGGGATTCCCCCCCTGCCTTGCTTCATCGTTTGAGCCTCATCGCCAGTGATACGCTGGTACTGCCCTGATACCTCACCACTACAGCCACCATCCTCAGTCCCCTGCCCTCACATTGCTGAACAGTGAACAGCAAGGTAGAACTTGTCATCCTTGAAGTTGACAGTGCACGAACATTGTAGTCATTCAACCCGGACCTTGAGTGAAAGCCCGTGCTGTTCGCTGTTCAAGTGTTCACTGTTCAGGGACAGATCTAGCGACCGTGAAAAACTGGAAGCGAACGTCGAAATCTTTTGAGAGATTTAGAGTCGTCGACAACATGGAAGTCGTCCCAATCAATTCCTTGCTACTGTCTTGCACAAGCAACGCGCATTCTTGCACCAACACCCAGGCCTATCTACCACATAACATCACATCATCACAGCACCTCAACTCAACAGCAAAATGCCTTCCGAAGGACGCAGCAATACCAGGCTTCCGCAGTCCAACGCCAGCTACTATCCAATCTTTGAAAGCGTAATTCCACTAGGTGTTCACATGGCGATACGAACCCAGTGGTATCGCCAAATGGCTCGCCGTATTCGAGCCCGTCGAGTCCTCGGCATCAATCCACGTACCGACTTCCTGACTGTCGAAGAGGAAACAGTCGAACCTCTTCCGCTATACACCAAGGTGCCATCAGCCGGCGAGATCACGGTCGAGATCTCGACTTTGGAGAAGCTGCCAGACTACCATGATGCTGTGCCTACGGATGATGTGGTTGCGGGGAGGAAAAGAAAGCGTAGGACGAGGTTTGATGGTCGTTGCAGATGGTCGGCGAAGAGAAGGCGGACTGAAATTGTGGAGGAGGTACGTTGCAAGGCTTAACCCCCCCGACTACCTACTTGATATCATATTATCGCTCTAGGACGTCGAGATTGGTCATCTTGATACTTACCTACTTCTACCTTTTTTTTTTCCAGCGCCCCGTCTCCGACCTTCCTTTGATTGGATTGCTAGCGAGGCTCGTCCTGGACGACCCTTCTGATTAGAAGCCATGTTACCCGACGCCACAGAGTACTTTAGAGGTAAGTAGGGTAATTCCGAGTCCAAATCTAGCAGGATGCCTTCTTGTTGGTGAATCAGCCGCTGACCAAACATAGAAGGGACAATGAGCAACAATCTATCACGGTTGTGCGGTGTCACGAGTGTGAAGGGGACATGTCTACCTCTATTAGATCCTGTTTGAGTTATGGAAATAGATTATCGACGTCACTGGAGGAGTCAAACGACACAATTCCTGTGGGCTTTAACTCATCAAGCTAGACACTCTCAATCAGCATGTCATGTCGTTGTCATTCCAATTTTCGAGTGTAAATACTGTCACAACAGTGAATGGGGTGACTGTTCAGCTGCACATTTCGTCCAGTCTTCAAAGTGGCAACCTACCTAAAAAGTGAAAAGATCTGACACCTTGACTCTTTGCAAATGTCCATAAAAATCTCGGCCCCTCAGGACCGACAACGCTTTTCCTTCTTCAGATATAATAACCTCTACCACTGCACCTAGGTACACTTGCGCACCCGACATCTTGAAGAGATCACATTTCTTTACCAACAAGTACAGTCTTGTATTAAAGCAACGATGTCTAGAGGTACCGAAAGAACGAACGCTCGTCGCTCCAGACAAGCCACCAACAACCCACCTCCCTCGCTTCGCCGACAAGACGCGGTTACCCACGAGACGATCGTCGACCAACACGGACAGGTCGTCGACTTCGGCATCTACACCGACCAAGTAAACGACATTCTCAGAAGTCTGTTTGGTAGTCCGGTCCAACGTCCTCGTCGCGGTACGTTTAATATCGCCCTCGATTGCTCAAAGGCTGTAGTATACTGATTTTTTTTTCTTTACTAGTTCCTTCCAGCAGGTCCAATCTCCCCCATCCTACGAGGCCGCATCGGCGTAGAAATCCCGAGGAAGTGGATATACCGCCTCTTTATACCAAGCTTCCTGGTGCCGGGGAGACGACTGTCGATATCTCGCCGTCGGAGCAGGAGGAGATGCTTCCTGAGTACTCTGAGGCGGGGAGGGGGGAAGATGAAGGCAAATCAGAAGGATGAGAGAAGGGCTCTGGCTGGAGGTATGTCTACCAACCACTCTTATCTAGATCCGTTCCTACCTTACCTACCTAGACATTCCAACGTCGAACACATACTGACTGTTGCAGAGAATCCGAAGTCTGAAGCTAAAAAAGATTTCTCGAGGTAGAAGGACAAGGGCCTGGCCTCAGAGACGACTAAGAGATCATGATTTTACATCATCTGATTGTGACCAGAACAATGTCAACGCCGCTATCAGTCGAGGGTTTAGGCCCGGTTTCGCGACTGACTCATTCTTCGAGACTGTACAAACCGCCCAGACTGCCTGGGACAGTCTGGTCTTCTACGATGCAGACGACACCATCGGTTCACCGGGTGGCCACAGGTATCCTTGCATCACGGAGACACGCGGAGGCCGACGCTACGCATTTATGTTTACAATTATTACCGGCTATTGAGCCCTTTTAGGCACCGAGACGTGGCTTCAAGAAGTCGTTAGTTATTATGTTTAAAACGGTTGTTATAAACCTACCTGTTTTTGGACGAATGGAAGATTACCTGGGACCCATCACCCAAACCACATCTGCGCATGTCCCCCACCACGAGACACTCGATTATATCTTTTCACCAACGCCTACTGTCTGCTTCGAAAATGGTAAAGTCCAAGGAAAACTTTCCTGAGAATCTCGACTAAGAGGTATTTTGCCGGTAACATAGCTTGGTACCCGTATCGACGGCTCGCTCCTCGATCAAGGTTTTTAGTATGGAGCCGTTGCTATAGAAACTATAACCTCAAAACCCCTGGCGACGTTGGACTTTGAAAAGACTGCTATAAATGCCAATAGTAAGGCTGTTCAGTGGTTTTCTCAGTGTTCAAACCTGGCGAACGAGGAAAATGGAGTAGAGCCTTGAACACCAAGAACGTCTATAAAACCGTCGACACGATGGAACCAACTGCGATCTTCTCTTTCCTCACAACAACTACGCGCACACCTGCACACCTCAGACTCATCACCAAAACGCACCTAACCAGCCTGGCCGAATACAAACCCACCAAGATGCCTTTCACACGCACATCTGCACGCCGCTCTCGCCCTAGGGCCAACAACCAGACTCCCACTTTGCGCCGCGAAAACGCCGAAGTGATTTACGAGAATGTCGACGACGTCGACCTGTTTGGGGGGGTCGATATCGACCAAATCCTGGATTTCTTGAGTCAAGAAGACACCAACCATTCAGCCAGAAGTGCCGCCAACCGCGCCCCTCAAGTCGCTCCTGCCTCTCACCTTGTAAACGGGCGGCGCATTGAACCGGAGCCGCAACTCCCTGCGTACACTCGGAATCCCAGCTCAAACGAGATGACTGTGTATTCCACATTTGCGGAGAGGCTTCCAAGTTACGAGGAGGCAAAGAAGGAGAAAGAAAAGGAAGATGAAAAGACTGGAGAAGGTATGTCGCGAGCGACTCCTGCGGTTGTCATGTCAAACTCGTACTAAATTATGTCCAGTTCCTCCCCGCTCTCAGTAGGAAAATCTGAGCAGACCACCGATGCATCAATTTTGGTATGTACCTTCCTCGTCCAGACTTCTGACAGTCGCTGACTTCATTCAACAGTAATACTCTACAGAAGTTTACAGGTCGAGATTGGGAAGGAACGGCATGCACAAATATGCTCAGGCGCAAAAACAGGGTGAAAGAATTAAAGCATGGAGTTGAGGCGGCATGAAGTACTAGAGATATCGGGGGATTCATCTTCAAGTATTCAATTTGGAATCAAGCTACCTGTTCGAGTATCATTCATGAAATACCCTTTGCTACATTGTTCCAGTCTTCACAATTACACAATCCATCCGCTGAACTTCTTCTCGTAGTCTCCAGATGGGAGGCCGTTTCTTCTTCCACTGTCCACATTCACCTCCTTGTAAATTACTGTAACTACCACCAACTTCGCAGTTCGCTTCACTGCTCAATTTCGTCATGTTCATTACTTCTACCGCCCATGTATGGACTATCGGCCGGCAAGTATCACTTGTTGCCCAGGAAACCATACAAACCAGTGAATGGCACGGCTGTTCGGTCTAGCTCTTGAGATGACAACTGTTCAATATCCACACCTTGAGATCAGGACTGTTCAGCGTCCAAACCTTCAAATCTGGCGACATTGGAAAAGAACCAAAAGTCGTCGATCCATCTCTCATGTCCATATCTCTCCATCTGCTGGCATCTTAGCACCATCTTTCGCCTCCACCCTACATCGCAAAACAACCGACATACCTGAACTCTTCTCTTGTCTGCCACTATCAAAGTCACACAATACCTCTACCAAAACAGCAAACAACAAACACTGTCATCATAATCGAAAGCGCAAAAATGTCGTCCCAATCAAACATTCCCCGCGACACCCAGCTACGCAACACCCACCCTCCCAGCCTCCAACAACCAGCCGCGACAGCCAGTTCCCCCACACTCCTCGAAGAAATCGCCGCCGAAGTCGAAGCAGCCAGGTGGGCGGCACTCCCTATCCAATATCTTGCGGTATTCGACCCAAACGACCCAGAGGGCGACCGGGCTCGCGAGCTGGATTTCTACAATGCGCTCGCCGGCGCCGACGATGCTTTGTTTGAGTCGATCTACCATCACGTTACGGATCAGATTTTGAGGAACCGCGCCTCCTTCCAGTATTACCGCGATAACGCGCCGCCGCCGTACACGACTCATCCGACAAAGGGCGAGATCACTGTCGAGATGTCTCCGGAGGTGGTTCTGCCGGCGTACCTCCCTCCTTACACCCCGTTTGGGCAAGGTCAGAACTGGGAGGGCGAGGACGCAGAAAAAGAAGAGGAGGAAGGTGTGGTGGTGGAGGACGTCGGGGAGAAAAGTGGAAGCGTCGTCCATGAAATGGCCGCTACGAATCCGGAACTAACGATCCCCTTCCTATGCGGTCGACGTATTCCACTCCGTACTGTCGAAGAATACTGGCCGGTAGTTCTTGTCCTCGTTCTCAGCCCTTACATTTATCCTCAAGATCCTCTCTTGTTCGCCGGCTTCGTGTTATTTACCCGCCTGGTGGGCTTCCTCTTCGAAAAGGCCAGGGGCAAGTAAAGGTACCTCTATATATCGAAAGCATTTCGTCGCAGTGTTAGTAATGGAACTCATGCTAACAATTCTCTTGATAATCAGGTCTCGGATAATTAGGTCTCGAAAGCGAAGTCAAGGAGTATGACTTGATGCAAGCGGGCTTTGACCACGACCATTGTAAGTACAACTTGCTCTTCATTGTCTCTTGTGTGTTCACAGCTGCTAACTAGAAGCATACCTAGGTAACTCTACCAAACCGAATAGCTGCCGAAGAGAGAGATCCATACGTCTACTTTGCGCTATTCCGAACGTAGCGCTTTACAGAAAACAGTTTAAAGGAAGGGTGAACTCGATTATACCTCTATGCACCAAAAGGGGGCCGAACATTCGAACATTGAACGATTTGTACATGTATCAAAGCGTTGGCTGCTGGGGTGAACCCTCTGTTTCTCTTATGATGTCTTTATGTTGGGGAACGAATATGGCATGAAGCACGAGCTACATGTACAACTATCACCATGAACAAATCTACCTCCACTCCCATTGCGTGTTCAGGAAGTCTATTTTGCCTATTATTGTTCAAATTACGCCACCATTCAAGGAAATTGGTGGTGGCGAAGCATGAGCTCTCCGGAGCACAAGGGGTAATATAGAGGTACATGCCTATCATGTCTCTGGGCTTGAATGAGAAGAGTTTGTCACGTCTTGAGGGCGAAATGGACCTATCTTCTCCTTCGTTTCGGTGTACCAATATGACTGGACTTCACACATTGTCCAACTGACTGCGTCTATTAGCATTCAACCTCCGCTGCCCTCGATAGCACCAGCTCGTGGCCCAGACTTACAGGGTTTTTGACTGGGTTGCCTGGGAAAATACATGTACCTGTAGGGACTTTGGGATCAAGGGTCATGTGCAAACCTTGGACCTTGTAAAAGAACCTGAAGTCTACGGCCTGGCCGCTCTATCCGCCTGGCACCTCCATTCACCGATCCATCCAGAACTATAACATAATCCCTCCCATCCACTGAGAAGCGCAACAAACTTGAACCGGTTTTATACCAACAACCTATCGTCCCCCACGATCAAAGTCACAACCGACCACAACACAACACCGACTTTCAACATCACTTTTTCTCACGCAAAGAAAATTACCAACAATGTCGTCCCCTTCTAACAACTCCCGTCGCTCTCAAATGCCCAGCAACCAACCTCCCCGCCCCCAGCGACAAGGCGCGACAGTTAGAGCCTCCGAAACACCCCAAGCCCTCAATGAGGAAGCAGCCAGGGTAAGGGCCATCACCGACCGAGTCCTCGCAAACTTTCGCAACGAAGCAGCCAGAATCCCCGCAGTCAGGAACCAGGCGACGGCGACCTCTCCAGACAACTTGATCGAGACCATGAACGCCTCCTTGGACGCCATCAGAGTTGCCGCCGGTAACGAGGCTCCTCCCAGGCCTATGAGAACCGCCCGTCAGGCTGCCATCGAAAATCGTCTAGGTCGCCTGGATGAATTGATCAGGTCTCTCCGGAGCCGCCTCCCGCCCAACCCCGATTCCGCACCTCCGTACACGGAGCTACCATCCGAGGGTGAAGTGACGATGGCGATGTCGGTGCCTGAGCCGGAGTATACCCCGCCTTACACTCCATTCGGGCAGGGTCAGAAGAGGAAGCGGGAGGGGGAAATCCATTATAAGGAGGAGGAGGACACCGGCGATGTCGAGGAGGGAGATCGCGGCTTCGGAAGATCATGCGCACCATCCCCTGAGTCGACGATTCCCCAACGAGATACCAGCTGTCCTGGCTTTGCTGAGGAAGACGACGGTGATATCAGCGACGAGGAGAAAAACCATTCGGAGGGGAACGATCAGGACGAGAACGACCACGACTAGAGGTCTGAGGAGGCATGGAAGATCAGTCATGACCAAGGGGCACCACAACATAGATGGCTGTAAGTATGAGCCAATATTCCTGGAAGTTGAGAGCTGCTAACTGACAGCATGGTTCCAAATAAAACAGGCAAGGAATCCGATTGTCGAGGCAAGAAAAAACCACTATGTTGCCAACGATTTCCATTATGCCAACCCGACCGCCGTCATTTCTCGAATGGTCACGGACAGACCAATCCATGAAGGACATGGGTCGAACGGAGGAGCAGAGGAGTTTTTCGAGGGTTGGGATCGTTGTTGAACAAGCTGTTTGATGTCTTGCTAGGAGCTATTCTCAGCGTGTCACTTCCACCTTCTTGTTCTTATAGCCACATCGTATTTCGGGAAGGGAGATGATCGCAAAACACAAGGTACTCCTGAACTACCTGGACACTCTGTGATTTATGTATCAAAGCTCTCTCGACGGTTGGAGGAAATACGCACTTTGGGTTGGGAAGCGAATTCTTCACCTACTCCCTGTACCGCCGCTGTAGGGTTCTGTTCCGAATCCATTCCTCCTGAGAAGAACAGCCTAGGTAGTTGTATCCTACCGAAGTGACATTCCAACCGAAGCTAGTCGCAAACGACCGTCACGCTTCCCAGAAAACTGTGCTCATAAATGCGTATACAGAACCTCCTCCTTCCTCGACAGCATCAGGTCGTATCCCGACATCACAGGATCTCCGTTCCCAGGACCGTCCACCAGAATGGCCTGCTTTATATAGGTATAGAGGTTACATGTACTGTCATAGTCGCCACCGCCCGCCATCCTCCTTCTTCAACCCAGACGACGGACAAGGCCATGGTTCAGGCAGTGTTAATACTTGTGGGATGAGACCGGATTTGTTCGCGAAAGATGGGTAATTTCAAGCGCTGTACGCAAATCGTACAAAACAAACAAACAGGGCGTAAACTTGGATCCATTACCTTCACTCAACTTCCAGGCGGCCGCGGAAGGGACGCAGGCACAATCTGGCCCACTCAAACTTTCACTCCAGTCTCTCATTTTCCCTTATATTGCAAACCGAATTTCAGAACTCCCACGTCTGTCTCCATCTACAAGTCAACAACACCACACACCAAACAACAACACCTCACCTCCATCAACAAAACAAACACAAAGCAACGATGTCTTCCCCATCCAACAGCCCGCGCCGCTCCCAGTCACCCGACAACCAACCTCCGCGCAACCCCCGCCCACTCCAAGCTGCCCCGGCCGACGCACCCGGCGACGCAGTCCCTCCACTTGACGAGGAGAGGCTCACCGCCATCGCCAACCGAATCCTGGACGCCTACGACCCAAATGACTTTCTTGGGTCCATGGCGGCTGCGTTCGACAGGATGAGAGAGGCCTCCGGCGGTGACCTGACCATGTTCAGGGAAATCGGGCTTCGTGTTGTCGCCGAGATAAGTCGCAGGCGTAACCCAGAGTATGTCCCCAATCCTGCACCGCCATACACCGCACTAGCTGCGATGGATGAGGTCACGGTTGCGTTGTCGGTTGCGGAGCCGGAGTATACCCCGCGGTATACTCGGTATGCGCGAGGGCAGAAGAGAAAGAGGGAAGAGGAGCGTGGTGAGTATCAGGAGGAGGAAGACGACAACGACGAGGAGGATGAGGAGCAGTGTGACACGGGGCAGTATCACGAGGATGAGGATGAGGAGGAAATCGATGAGGAGGAGATCAATGAAGAGGAGAATGACGGGGAGTGAACGACTGCGACTACAGTTCCTCTTCAGGACCAGTGTTGTGACCCAGGCAAGCAATAACCACGAGATTTCCTTTTGGTAAGTTCAACACACAAGGAAGGCCTCCTGCCATTGTTTCGCCGTTGTTAACAGCCGCTTATCAGACATATCAGGTCGCCATGGAAAGCAAACTCGTCCACATTCCAACATCTCTCCATAATACAGCAAGAGCTACAGACCTCAAGGAAAGAGACAGAGACACAAATCAATCAGCACCAGCCGCGCCTGCCACATAGACAGCACGCACAACCACCGAGCCTGTCCACCAAGATCGCCACACCTTGACTTTTGCCACGACACCGTATTCTCCAACCCACCCGCCTTATGACGAGCTCCGCGACAAGCGTAGTCATTTGTGCAGTACGAGCACCGCAGTCTCTTTGGTTTCGGAGGAGGCATCAGGCCCTGGCGCTCGGCAAGTTTGACCTTATGGCCATATGACCTGCGTTCATGTTGGATGGCTGGGGCTGTACTCCTCCACCCACCCAATGTCGCAGAAATCGCACCACCACGTTAACTCGCCATCTTGGGACTTGGGAGGGACGTATGTCCGATTTTTCCTTGGCTATGTGCATGTGGCCGGTCGGCACTCTTTTGGTGCTTCAGTTCTCCGATGTCTTGCGGCGCAGAGCCTGTAGCAGGAGCACAGAAGCCGGCAACTGAAGCAGTCTGGCCACCTTCCGGGTCGGTGGGTGTCAGAGAGACGGAAGAATATCCGGCCCTATTCGGCCAAGCTTGTGTCTCGCGACGTACAGGACCACCACGCACGAATCATCTACCACCTTATTACAAGGAAGTCAGATCCCATCATTCGTCTCCAGACATCGAAGATCGCTTTGCCAAAACAGTTGAAGCTGTCTTCTCAGACCTCTAGAGATATTCAGGAACAAATCACCAATACAGATAATGGTGTGGTTCCCAAGATTCCGAGTGACAAAGACGGGGGGAAAGCCAAGGACAAAGTATGGTACCGGCGTGTACGGAGACTAGGCGCTTCTATAATTGCACTAGAACACGGCCGGGCGCGGGAGAATGTAGTCTACATATCGGTAAATCAGATACCTAATGTTTGAAGATCACAAGCAGTTGTAGCTCCTATAACGGACGCCCAAATAAAGTAGGAGTACTCCTTGTTCCTCCTCAGAGTCAGCTATAACCATGATATCAAAGTGAATGCACCTACAGTCAAGCGAGACACAATTGGCAATGCCGCCGAAAGTTTGCCTTTTGACTTACTTGCAGACAGCTTCGAAGGATCAAACTGGGGAAGTGTGGGATCTGCAGGCAACGCAATCTGATCATGAATAATCCTCAACGTGGCACCCTCTACGAGTGTGGGCACTCTCTTCGGCCAGGTTCTGCTGATAACGCGGCGGGCCCTGGTGGCGGGCCCGCACAGAGAAGAGGTTGGCAATGATGTATTCGCTCACACAAATCTCGTTATGGTTGACACCGGCAGGAGTGGGGTTCAGGTCGCCGTTTCGAATCGCCACGGCCCGTGTTGGTAAAGACTCAGAGGCACGTCGCAGATCGCCTTGTTGATGTGGGCAATGTTGGAGTTATTGAAGCTATTGAGAGCTTGCACGACGCGCGAGGGTTGCCTGTGAGGGCAGACGGCCACGGCTACGAGGGGTTGGGGGCGGGCGTATGTCCACTGCACGGTATGTCAACGCCATGCAAACACAACCACAAATCCACTATGAACAGTCAGCTTCACTCAAAGTCAAGCTCTCGTTTCCTCCATGGTGCCGTCGGCAATTACTCATAGCAAACCACGGTCAACAGGGCGGTAGACAACATAAATACCAGCACCGGCCTACCTGGCCAGAAACGTTGTCCCTTTTGCTTCGCGCGCTTGACCACCACGATCTTTGCCATCGTTCTCGGGTGACGGTTCATCGGGGTCGGCTGGTTTTGGTTCGAATACCTCGACTGAAGCGGATATGACTTCTGGGATCTCGGACTCGATCGAGGCCATGATGATGGATGTTGGGGATATGTCGAGAAGGAGCAGCAGTCAGATCACGTTTTCTCAAACCTAGGTACCTTATCCATGAATGCCGTTCTCTCATCGTGAAGTTGTCCGGTAGAGGTAACATGGAATCATGATAAGGTGTTATCCGTAATGTTGGCGGCAACGATGTCAACGCTTTTACCACACCTGTGACATATCTGCCAGTCGTTGTAGCCGGGACATGGTAGTACATCATTCAGCTCGGACCTCCTAGCGAACCCATCTTGATCATGCCTCGTCTCCTTGGAAGTACCTGCCGAGTCGAACGCCTCATCTCAAAACTTGCCCAACTTCTGTAACGGTTCGGACGAAGCTTTTCAGAAATCTTGGTCCGGAGAGTCTCTCATTTCATCTCAAGTGTGCAGACAACTTTGCTAGCCCTTCACTCAGACTCTCAGCTGGCAAGAATAAGGGCACAGGCCACAGTACAAACGCACAATCAGAGGAGGGGGAGCAACCAGTTCCTTCCTCCCCACTCTTCCTCCTTCCACCGCTCTCACTTACTTTTATAAAAGCGCAACCAGGAGCGCAAGTGGGAAAGCTCTCCCAACTCTTTCTTGAACACCTCAACACACTACCACATCAAAACACAATAAAGACTCCAGTCCGCCTGCACCTCCAGAGACTCCAAGAGGGTTGTCATCATCACTTCCCATCCAAGAGGAAAGTCTTGTAGGTACAGCTTCCTTCCTTCATTCATGCGTTTGATCACTGTGACTAACTCAACGCGTCAGGCCTCCTATATAACCGTCACCAACTTCTTTTCATTCCACGACCTCGCCGATCCAACCTCACGGTAAGTCTCCAGTCTGCTCTCACCGAGAACGCGCTTGCCTAAACGCGACGATACTAACATCTTCATCCAGCCGCCAAAGATGTGCGTAATCTACCACATCTACTTCTCCCAGTGCGATCACAAAGACGCACTATTTGTGCCGTGCGCAGACAGGGAGCCGCGCACCAAAGACTGTCCGAAGGGTGACCCCAGGGAAGTCAGACACACCCAAGACGGTCCCTGCGAGGACTGCCACCCGCCACAGGGAGACGAGGACCCTGACGCCGTGGTGGAAAGCGAGCAGGAGGAAAAGAGATGAGGAAGGTCTAGGAAGGTGTATCGACGAGCGGGATAAGGATAGTTCGTTGTGTCAGGGGGATGGATGCCTCTGAGACATTAACTGGACCAGTAGAATAGAAACCCATCACCTCTTTTGCCTCCAAGCTCCGTAACAAGATCCTGAAGATGCCGTGACCAGTACCAAAAACCCCTCATGAAAAGGAAGGATACAACCAGCGTAGAGGGCCTTGTCTGTCCCATTCCCCTTGGCTATGTGGCCGGCACTCTTCTGGTGCTTCGCCAAATTCCCGGCCGAGTCAAACGAAATCTCGCATGTTTGGCAACGGTAGGGACGGGAGGTATGATTCCGGACGTTTTCTTGGTATGTGGCCGTTCGGTGTACCTTACGTTCCTCTGTTTCGGAAGTTTCAGCGTATTTGCGCCTAAGCGCTGCGTGCTCTTCTGGGTTGTTCTCCTTCAGGTGCCGATACCGCCTCTTGTTGGCCGCGCTGTTCTTGGCTGCCTTGCCACCGCACGCCAGTGCGCCGGATAGTCACGCTTCATTGTATGGTAGGTGTCGCGCCTTTGCTTCAAAAAGGCTTGGTGCCTTTGCTCCGACGCTTCCTCTAACGGGTTAATGGTGGTACCTTTGGTGGTTCGATATGTCGACGCCTGTTGTTCGGGGGACTGTTCTGGAGATGCGTCCATACAAATAGGTTATATTGGGCTGCCCGCGTGACATAGGAGGACGAAGGTGCTCGAACTTCGACATCGTGATGGGCAAAGGCTGGCGTCGTCAGCAGAGGGACGCATATATCCCTCTTTGGCCATCAAAGGAAGGCCGCGAGCAAGCGCTTCTGCCGCATGCCAGGCTTTCTTCTGTTCTGCGGTGTGCAATCTACGGCTGGGCTGCGCATCCTAAGCGCGACGGGCCGCCAGCAGAAATGCAGGCAAAGGGCGGCACTCCTCGGCGCGGCCCAGCATCTGTGCAATGCTGGCAGGTGGCGCCAGGAATAGCGCGGACGCAAGGGCGCTCATAAGGTGACGAAGACTATCACCACGAAGAACACCATGGCGAAAAACCGGGTCATGTCTAACAACTTAAGGCAATGAAAATCATTACCAAGAGCTGTAAGTTGGGTTGCGCATCCTAGGCGCGACGGGCCGTACAGCTTCTTACAGAGCAAGCTGGTGCGCAGCACGAAGGCTGCCCTTGACGCCGCCTTCGACGGGACCCCAGCTTTGCCGACAAGATCCTATCCAATTTGGAACCAGTCCAAGCCGTTCAGATGCCCCATCATGACTTGTCAGATAGCATTCGAATTGGCCACTCTGCTGGCAATCCAGTACATGAACCACAGTACAGGCTTGCCGGAGCAGATGGGTGGCTTAGGTAGCGAAGTCCAAAGCATGAACCCTGCCACGCCGACACAGCCTCGCCGCCACCATATGAGCTGGAGCGCCCCGCCGCGCCAAACACCGTCATATCCGTATTGCCGACAGCCGCCCCTGCTATGGCTTTGGTCAAGGACCAGCCTTTTGAATGTCAACTGTCCAGAGGGACTCAAAGACACTATGATGAGCTTTCCATTACAATCTCGGATTGAGCCGAGCATCCACTGCGACACATCTCTATGTCTTGCGTTTCTTCAAGACGGTGAGATCCCAGACGCAGGTCTCAAGTAGGGGGCTGTCAAGAACAAGAAAAGTTCGTGTTTGGAGAGAAACCGAATGAACAGAAACGATCAAAGATAGAGGTAGGTTCCGTCTCATCTCTCAGTTCATTTTCTGTTCTATCTCCTCGCTTTCAGGAAAACATATGCATCGGAATACCTAACGTCGAACGTAAAGATCGTCTTGTCGGTTGAGATTATATTGTCGACTGGACTCATATCGTCTAGTCTATGGTTATTGGGTAATGTCTTTGAAAGAAGGACCAAGTAGCGTATGCTCACTTCCAAGACACAAGGCCATCTTTCTCTCCGGCGAGCAGACCGGCGAAAAGGTCTGTAGCACATCATACCTCTTCCAGTGGACGAGCTGGCCATGCCGCACGAATTCAACCGGTTTTCGTGGGTAGCAGCCCCCTCCCCCCACGGTCGGTCAACGATTATCACACTACCCAGGCTGCGCGGGTGGGCTATGTGTACTCCGTCATCGTGACTCAGTATACAGAAGATCCAGATGGCCTTGAGAAGAGCGCAAGAGGCATTCAAGTCATACCATATCTGCCGACTAGGCGCTATCCTGCAAAACGCAGGTCTCCAGGTAGACATGATTTATTCCAACCAAAGCCAAGTCGAACGCGCACGCTTCTTCCACAACTGCATCAGAAGAACGCCGGAATTGACGTTTTGATTCTCGAGTGTCCACGCCACAGGCCTGACCTCCACGCCGCATGCCATATCGGCATCAGATTCAGCTACGTGTGGTACCAGAACACCATCCTCCAATTCAGGGGCCGCCTGTACCGAATCGGTCAATAAGACGCCGTTGAGTGGTTTCTACCAACCGCCAATGGCACCATCTGCGATTGGACAGAGGAGAGGACGCTGGGCAAGGCATGTTGATCCTCCGGTCGGACTCGACTTCTCGAAACTATTCATCTAACTCCTATCAGAGCGAAAGCTGACCGATGAATAGTGGATCCACAAACTCGTAGCGAGTTTGGCGCTGGATAAGATGGGTATCTCTCCCGAATTCGAATGCTAGGTGACAATTTACGATGGGGCATCTGAATGGCTTGGACTGGTCCCAATTGGGCTGGTAGCCCTCGGAAAAATTAGCTCCGTTGCCTGGATATGTGACAGTATCGCCGTGTTCTGTGATTTGTGTTAGTGAAATGGACGACATAATGGCGCGGGAAAAAAACGGGAATCGACTTACTGTCCATACCGCACCACTCGTCATAACGACGGATGCCTGTCTTTATAATCACATAACCGCCGCGCTTTTACTGGTTGATCAACCACGGCTCCTGCGGCGGGCCATCGTCTTCCGAGGAGGAAGATTCAGACGAGGATGAGGCTTCGCGGTCGCGACGACGGGGGCTAATGTCGGATGTGTCACTGTCCGGGTCCGGACGAATGTTGACCAACACATCGAATTCGCGTGGGAGATCGGGTGGGACGACGTGATCATCAAGGACGAAGAGAACTTCACATCCACCAGCCCCAGGTCTAATGTAGAACAGCGCTTGTTATGTGGGGGTCGACTTGCGAGACTCGATAGAGGATATAGTTGAGGTCATGTGCGGAGGAGTTCTTGTCCGTCATTGAGCAAAAGGACCAGCTCCTGGTTTCCCTGCTTGGCCTTCTTTCGCCGGCGATCGACAGATTTTCCATAGATATATTCGTCCAGCTCATCTTCGGCTCCGTGGATTGAGCTAGCAAGTGTGGCTTCTTCGTTGAAGCAGGCCCTTCTCCGCCGTGGTGGTCGCCCAATCTCGTCGGCTCCAAGGGCGTGTTGGGTTCGACAGCTTCATCGAGGGATCGAGGTCTAGCCGGGGATTTGGAGCACGCTTTTGTTCGAAACGGATTTTGGACGGGGGTTGAGAAAGCGATAGGAGAAAACTACGGAAAGATTGGTTAGAAAGTCGAAGAAGGCTGGGAAGGCAAAGTCACGGAGCTGTACTTTACCGTTGAATTGGGAAATATGGTCTATGGTACTCATGTATTGAGTTCGGAACGCAAAGAGAAACAAGGATGGGAGCAGAAAAGAAAAATGACCGACGGCAAATGCCCATCAGAGGAAGGAGTTGTGGGCTGACCAAGAACATGCGGTTCAGTGGACTACAGCGGGTATTTTGCAGTGGACATTGTCACTAACCGCCCTGTTAGTGCAATACCCGGACCGACACGGACACTCGTGGGTATTGGAAGTTTTTGGTGGGTATTACTTAACGTAGGTAGGAACTACCCGACTTCTTTGAGAACCATTGTAGCCCTGCGTTGTTCATGACTGTTTCCCTTGATGCTTCAAGTGCTCTACCGGCAGTCGCAGAAGTCAGGTTCCTTCTGTGTCGAGAACTGCGCCATAGGTCTCAGTTGGAGATGTGGCAGGCACGCAAAAAGGGACCCACATCTCCCCTTTCTTCCCCACAACCGGAACCAGCCCCGATACCCTGACCGGCTCGAGACCGGGTCGAAGTACAGCATGCTCCTTCCCATCTTTGCAAACTGCAGTGGAATCGAATCGTTGGAACCCTTTCTACTCCTAACAACTATCATAGCCTTCCACGCGAATCGAAAGAAACGCAGCGATGGAACCACGGAAGACAACAAAAGGACATTCACTGAAGCGTGCCGTGACTCGAAACCTGGACGCGGCTCTTCACCAGTCTTCATACCACCGGTGCTATCTTTCCCACAAACGCATTGGACCTGGCAACAGACCTTGGGACTTGTGTGTTTGGAACCTGGGTGACAACCCAAGAAATTCGACGAGCCACGAAAAGGATTATAAAATGAAATGGTAGGAGGTTTCCTGTCCTTTCTACAACTCCACGCCACGATCACCTTGCAAAACCACAAGACAAAACGTCCACTGACCTCGCCACCTCCCAGTCGTCAACTTACTAAACGGGTCGAAGACCTTATAGAAGTCGAATGTCCCAAAATACCACGCCGGCAGCAGACACCCCGGAAGTGTTGCCAGCCATGACTTCATAGCGGACACACCCTCGTCGCACCGCGCCCACGGGTGGCCCCTTTCCTCCGGCAACATTGCGTCGTCAGAATGCCCAGATTCTATTCATCCACGAAGCTGACCGACAATCGGTACCTTTACCCAACGGCGTCCAGGGAGACGACGAACCCAGCTCCCCTCCTACAAGCCAGGCCCGACAGGGTACTTCGACAGGAGACAACAGCAGTCGAGCTCCAACACCACCTCAGGAACATTTAGCCAACTCCCTAGTTCGGACACAAAACTTAGAAGTCACCGGCTCATCAAGTCCTACCGATGCGGACATACAGAGAAACGTTGAGACATTGCAACGTCGCCTTCGTGCAGGTATCATCACGCCTGTCCCCCGCCCTTCGCAGCGGGCCCAAACTCGGCCGATCCTATTTCAAGAAAATCCCAGCCTTGTTCCTCGCTCCTCCAGGCGTATAAGGCTTACCTTACCCTCCGACGGCCCCGAGCCCGAAGTCGATCCCTTGCGACCGTCGCCGCCGCCGTACTCACCCCGTAACCCCCGCCTACATCCCACGAGCACGGACTACGACCTCACGCTCAATTTGTACGGCCGCCCTCACAACAATGGTGCTCCGCCTCTTCCACTCTACACGCCCATCGCTGACCCCAGCGAACGTGTCCTCCAATTTGGAGGAAGTGAGGATGAGCAACGGAACGCCTTGGTGCGGTTGCGTGAGGAGAGGGGCCGACAGCAGTCAGAGGAGCGGTTGCCAGGGATGCGGTTGCCGGACCGGGAAAGAAGAGACTACGATGGATCCGAAGAGTTGCAGTGGATAAGGAACGCGGTGGCTGAATTGGATGTCGAGGATGCGGAGTTAGAGGCCGATATTATTCGGCTGTTCATGAACGACCCATTCCCTTGACGTTCATTCGCAACGGCGAGAGGTTTGAGGTATCACCTGGCATAAGATCACAGAGGCAGGAGAAGAGGGTCAGCTATTGATGATCGATGACAGGCGATAGCGATCTTGCAGTCGGCGGCACACATATCCGGATAACTGGCTCATTGAAGAGGATGGAGGAGAGAGAGTTACGAAGCTTGCAGGCATAAGAGTATCACAGCTTGGAGAATTTTCGACAGCTTGCGCAAAGGCGATGACAGGAAGAGAAGATCAATCGAAAGTCAAGAATCAAGCTGTCAGTTAGCGCCATCATGTAGGGGCAATTTGCGGGGTCATGGCTCATGCTTGCAAATAGCGCGATAGCAAGATACTCTTTCTTGAGATGGACACTCGTAAGCCGCATGGTATTGACGGCATTAAAAATGTTAGCAACTCATAAGTTGGATTCTGAAGCCTACTCAAAGCTTATTGGATACGTTTTTTATTCTACTTCTCATGTTCAAAAGTTTGTCGACCACGGCAGTCGTCCTCTCCAAGAACCTCACTATCTAAGTCCAGCGCCAAGGCCCACATCATCCCCTGCCCTGCTAGCGCTCCAAAAAGATCTGTGAAGGCATCAAAGGAAAGCATCAACTTGAAGCTTCAAAATAGCAGCGCGCGAAACACCATGAACGGTTATTTTCTTAAATGATTCCACACACTACCTCAATTTCCTGAGTCACTGGGTCATTTCAGTGACCGTCGGGTATGAATACGAGACATCGATTTCCAACAGCTTCTAGGAAAATCAGGCATGGATTGTGTAGGTACCTGCATTGCATATCTACCGTACCTATACCGCCCGGAATATGTAGATTACCTATCTGTCCGCGAATAAATACCTAGGTACCTAGTGGGGGAGACGCATTGCCGGACACCCCGGCCGGCCGGCGTACTGTAAGTTTCGTAGTGTACAGTAGCTTCTTCTTCTTCTTCTGATGTCCCACGCCGGCTGCCTCTTTCCCTACCCATATACGGTGGTATCAAGTAAATGGAATGCAACTTGAGTAAAATGAAGCAAGGTAACTGACACTGCCACTTGCTGTATTTCTTTGAAGAAGACTGTTTCCGCCCACTGAAGAAATTAAAGTCTATTCTTGGAGGTAGGTATATATATGCTGCAGGCAAATATGCGTGCAAATGCACGTACGGACATCGTTGCGTTGCTTAGGTATTGTGTATTTCTTGTACCGCTCTGGGCCAGCGTGTCGGCGGGCGTCCAAAACTGCACAGTTTATAAAAATGTAAAATCTGCAATGCACCTCCTTTTTTACTAGCCCGGGGAGTTTATTCGGAGGCTAAGCTCTGCGACATGCTATTCAATGTTCCTGACGTCCCTTCGTTAGTTGAAAAGGACATATGGAGGTAGAAAGTGGAAGCTAGCTAAAGTGAAGAAGGTCAGGTTAGATTACTGGAATCCATCTGCTTCTTCCTCTTGTCTGAAGTCATGCCTTGAGAAAAGGCGGTTATAGGGAGTGTTGAAAACCTAGAGGTTGGAAGGTGCAATGGGGCTGGTGGATTCTGGTGGGCTTTGCTGCAGTATTTAACCAGTGGTCACGGCGAGGAACTGTTAGTTAGCCTACTAATTAACCAACCCACTCCCTTTCATTCTACCCATCAACCGCGAGCAACGCTGGAAAACCAGGTGCAAGGTCTTGCTGGAGAGCCTGAAGGCGAAACCTTGGGGCATCACTTCCACGTGGATGCGATGTACTGCAGTGAATGGTAAATGGTGAAGTGCGCGTGCTGTTATAAGGCACCGTGGAACTAAATCTGACCTCCGGGATGCAAAAAATATTCATGTCCGTTGAAGGTTGTGCCGCCTTTTCCCTTTCATTGGCCCTTCCTTCCTTCAGTTGTTATCTTCAGCACCTATATATTCTGCTTTTCTCTTGCCCTTGACCTTCTGTTTTAGTTCGATTCTTACCACAAGAGAAATCACCATCGTCTTTCTGTGATTAGGTACCTTTCCGACCTCCAGCAATATTCCTGCTATCCTTTCTCTTCAACAATCCTCCTCGATATCCATATCAAGAAAAGAACACCTCGTCGCTTCGCTTCGATATTCCATCATCAAGAGTAAACTTCGCCTCAACCTTCCATACTTCAAGTCTTCAACAACCACACACTTCCACAATGACATCTTCCAAAACTCCTAGGACCCTCCCCGCCCTCCCCGAGGAGATCTGGCGTCTGATCATCCAACATGGAGTAACGTTGCGAGCAACCTCCGACTTCCGCACCTGGCGATGCGACCACTCCAACGAAATAAACGACCAACGCCTCCACGACCCAACTACCCGATTCGACCACCAGCGCGAGCGGAGGGACTACGCGGCTATGCTTCCGCTTGCTCAAACAAGCAAGTTCTTCTCTCGTCTCGTGGCAAACGAGCTCTACCAGAACATCGTGCTGTGTGACTACCATGGTATCGGACGTGGCCAGTTCACACTCTTGCTACGAACCTTGGTCGAGGCCCCCAAGTCCCGCGATCGGGTCAAGCATATCACGATAGTGCCTTTCTTTGATTGTGAATGGCAGCCGAGGCCAGAGGACCCGGAGCCCCCAGCCGGCCTGAGACTCATGGGGAAGGAGGCATTACCTGTTGATTACCAAGGGGCCGTGACCTTTTTGCAAGAGAAGGATGTCGAGAAACTGGATAGACAAGCCCAGGGTATCATTGACATCGCTGGCCTTGAACTCGCCCATGTGCCTGAGAATCGGATGTTCAAGGCGTCGATAGGGTGGCTTGAAAGAGCACTTGCCGCCTTGGTGTGCCTATCCAGTGGTCTTCGGAGCCTGTCTATTCAGGACCCTCCCCCGAGCAGTGGCTGGGTACCAGGGTGCCCGCGGATGGATATAGACGGATTTGAGCACACCATCCGTAAGATCCGAAAACTCCCTAGCTCGTATGTAAAGATTTTCCAGCAGCTGGAAGCGGTGTCCATAGCGACGACGAGATTCAAGAACGACTCTGACGAGGCGTTCTCCGTCTATTCATCGCCGCTCCTGACTGGCTTTCAGGCCCTTGGGTTCCTCATAATGAGGGACTGGTAAGTCAGACTGAACCTTGATCCGTTTCTGCGCTCATCTGGCTAACTTGAAATACTATAGGCATCGCTTGGCTGACTACCGGTCAACCTTGGTTCACCTGGACATCGGCCACCTCTACCCCCAACTCATCAATGCTAGATGGGTTGGCCTCAAAGAAACCAACGGGGCTCGAGCCCGCGAAGCCAGGGAGTTCAGACGCATTCTGTCAACCTTCACTCGTCTCAAATTCTTGCGCGTCTCTTATGCCCTCATTATCGGCCAGCTGGAAGAGAAGACCAAAAACTTCGGCGACATGCTATCCGAACTCCTCCCTCCGTCCGTCGAAGATTTCCAGATAGCGGTGTTCAATCATGGGGTGGACAACCGATATGATCGACCAAACATCGACATGTCCGTCAAGTGCTTTTTCGAGGGTCTTGAGTTATGGACATGGGACCTCGACCAGTATAAATACCGGCTCGATTTCTTCGCCAAGTACCGCAATCTCTGGGATATCAGTATACTGGTCCACCAGAAGGGCAACTCCCAGGACCAATCCCAGTTCTAGAGGGATAGGCGGAGCATCAATCAGACAAGGCTGCGAACATGGCTGGCTTTTGGTGATAACCATGTCGATCCAACAAACAATTATCACCAATATCGCGTACAGCACGGCTATCTCCCAGACGTCGAGGAACGGATTGAGGCGCAAAGTGATGACGAGCCGGGTAACTCTTTCGGAGGATTTCGTCCCTTGGATACTTTGCAAATCGTGCAGGCCCAACTGGAGCTCATGTGGGTGAACTTCCAGGTTTATACCTTTCAACCGCCGATGTTTCAGGACTACATGGGTCGTGACCGCGAATATTTCACGCGTGAGGGATCTGTGCAGTGGCTTCCACTTGTATGGTGGGAGGGGTGGCGTTGAAACTTGAAGACATCATGAGTTCTGGGGTTTCTTGGTGATGGTGGTTCGTTTCATATTGGTAGCTCTACATGCAAAGGGAGGACTGGAAATCGGTTTAGGGAAATTGGATAGATTCAGAATAGAAATGGTTGATACCACAAGATCCAGTCAAACCCCAATTAAATGATGTAAATGGTGAACACATGTCAACGTGAACACGGAGGTAAAACGAAAGTTGAGAAAAGAAATTTTCCTCGCCTGAGAGTCGTCATGCGCTCTTTCCTTTCCACGAGTTGCCCCGCAGATAACATGAACTCCAGTCATTGTACCTTCCATTATTCCAATCCTTTGCCTTCTCCTCATTTCCCGTGCATCCCACTGCTCACCGACTAGCTGCGGCCCATCTTCTTGAACCCCTCCATCTGGATTTCTGTACCTAGAGGTATGGACCTGGACCTCTACACATTCGTCTCCACGCCCTTGTACTCCTTGCTCCCCGCCTTCATCTCCCACGGCGCAAACACATTCTTGCTCCCCTTCAACGTCTCCCTCAACTCCGGGAAATGTCTTCCCAACACATCCTTCATCCCGCTATCCTGCACCCACTTGAACCCAACCTTGGTGTACATCTCCTCGTTCCATTCGCCGGCAATGAACCGATCGCTCTTCAACCTCCTGCTCGCCATGAGAATGAAGATCCTGAACGCCGTCTCGCTGAATCCGAACCCTGGAATCACCGGCTCCGAGTGGGATCCAACCAAAGCATCCACAAGGGAGATGTCGTTGTTGTAGGCTTCTGCCAGTTCTTTGGCTAGGACCTTGTTGCCGCCGGTAAGTTCTTCGAAGGTCTTGGGAACCGAAAGACGAAGCATACGCCGGAACTCGCAGTAGCGAGGGACGCCCCGCTCGCGGTCGCGGAGAATGTCTACGGTTCCGAGGTCGCGGACTTGGCCGTCGGGAGTGCGCAGGTTGCGTAAGAAATCGGGGTAGTTGTTGTTTGTGATGGCGCCGGGGTAGTTGATGCCGAAGGAGTAGAAGACGTCAGCGAAGGAGAGACCGTCGTCAAAGGGGGTTTGCGATTTGGTGAAGGTGGTGTCGACCACGGGGATGGTGGTGACGTGGTGGCCGTCGGTGGCGGAGAAGAAGGCGATTGTTTCTGCGGACGGACACTGCAGTTAGTGGGAGGTACATAAATAACACCGAGGGAATTGGAAAAGAGGAGAAAGCACGAACCAGGCATCAGCGAATGCATCCGATAAACTGACACAAACTCCTCCGTCAGTGAGTACGGCGTCCCATCCTGCTCCGCTCCGCTGCCGGGAATTCCACTAATGATCTCGCTCGTCTTGGACAGTCTTCCCGCGATCTTGGTCAACTTCTCCCCGACAATCCCCCACCAGTTGGCGGCCATTCCAATCTGCAGCGCCGGATGCGCTAGAATCGCCGGTGTCCACTCGACCGTATGGATCTTGGCCATTAATGCACAGTTCACCAGCCTCGCCTTGTCAAAGATCTGGTCTCCGCTCCAATCGGGATACTCCTTGCGCAGCGCATCACAAACGGCATTGTGCTCCAGCGCAAACAGCGTGTGCAGAATCTCCATTCCCACCCACCATTTGTCGGTGAAGCCCGTCAAGACATTTCCAACCTGGTCCCGAGGGAGAAATTGCTCACGCCCGCGACTGTCCAGGGACAACTTGCCGTCTGGATGACGGTTGCGGAGCGTCTGTGTTACGGACTCGGAGGAGCCGTAGATTTGTGATCCGTCCCACCAGTGGGTGTTGAGGTTCTTGTACCCGGGACACTTGATGTCGGATGGGTCGAGAGCCTCATCTGGCTTGGTGGCGTATAACTGCATGTGCTGGTCAAGCCACTTGTCGTCCTCAGAGAGCGGGACGTTGAGCTTCTCGTTGGGGTCCTGAGACACAACCGGAGAAAGTCAGCCAATGATCGGAATCAAGAAGGAAGGAGCCCAAGCCACAGGAATACTGGCAACATCTGATGTTACACAGGATCACGACCAATGCATGATCGGTAAAGTCCCCATTCCCAAAGGGAAAAAGTCTCACAAGTCACATACCTGCTCATGGAAAAACCAATCATGCGTCTGGAACTGGATCCACGCCGCCGCCAACAGATTCAGTGTCGTCGCCGGGATGAACTTCCCTTCCTTCCTCGCCATAAACCTCTCACTAATCATCCTCGGATTCGGCGTCATCAGCTCCGCTTCGCTGGGTTTTCCACAAACCTCCCGCGGGAAATTCCTCCCGAACCTCATGCCCGTGCATCCCATCTTTGGCTGTTTCAAGTCATTGAACTTGCCATCGGAGTGACGGGCGCCCAGGTATCGTTCGTTGGGAAGAGGGTCGGTGATGGAACTGCCTTGGGCTTGGGAAGTCGCATAGGCGTCGTGCAGGTTGTATTGTCGGAGCTCGATGCGCAGAAAGGCCAGGTTGAAGGCGCCGATGAAGCCGGGGAGTTTGTACCATGGGATCAACTTGTTGAGAAGGTGAAAGGAGGTGATGCCGAGGCGTTCGAGGAGAGTGGGTGTGAAGGAGGGTTGGAGTTCAACCTGCTTCTTGCCCTTGTCGTCTCCATTGGACGAGGCGGCAGAGGTAGTGCCGTTTGGTTTGGAGAGGGTGTTGGGCATTTTGATGAGGTGTGGTGGTTTACACCTTTCCAGATGTTGGGTGGTTATTGTTGTTATGGTGGTGGTGATGGTGAGGCTGTCAAGGCGTTGTTGGCGATAGTCGTCGTGCTCACGTCTTCAAGCGAGGAACTTGTTGAAGAGATCAGAATTCCCTTTTGGACTCGGATCCAACTCCAAGAGCCCCCGCAGTCTTATACCCCTTCCTTCATCGCTTCATGCATTCACATGCTGTCCCATCCGAGATACAACACGCAGCCGCTCATTCTTACTCTATGTTCAGCTTGGATGCTCCGTGGCTGTTTTCCTGGGGGTTACCATGGGTTGCCACAGCGGGAGTGATCCGTGACGCCAGTCCCGCGTACTTGATCAGTAGCCGCCGCCGCCATGTTATACTCACCTGGTACACATACCTCCACGTCCTGGAAGGCTGAGGCGCTGAGCCTTTTCCTCGAGTCGGAAAGTCCCTGGATTTTGATTGATCTGGAGAATAAAGTCAGATGCTGATTGGACAGGCACCCATCCGGGGTAAGATTCAGGGTCATGTCGTCGTGGGGTGGTACCGTGGTAGGTGGCTTTCCGACGGGCTTACATGTAAGCTTATACAATGCCTGTTCCCGTTTGGGAAGACAGATTTCATTTGTGCTCCTTTCTGTGCGAAGGCGATCTCGAGAGGATGATGGTTCATTCAGCCAATTCAGGGGCGTTTTGTTGCAAATGCACTTTTAGCACTACCTGGTCGTCCTGTGGAACAAACGTGGGATTTCTACGCTAGAGGTAGGTAGAGGTAGGTGTACAACGAGGAGTACTCGATGTCCTAGTAAGCTCAAAATTCACTGGATATTGACAGGTACCTGTTGGACTGAAATAAGTAATCACAGCAACCGTTGATCAACGGTTACGAGTAGGTCAAGGTAGTATTCCGACCAATCATCACCTGACCCCGGATTTGACCTGTCAGCCCATCAGCCCGTGCCGTCCGCTGTCGGTTGTGGTTGCTACCCTCAGAAACTACAGAAGGGGGCGGTGGCTCTCACATCTTCCATGTCTAGCTTTTGAAGCTCAGCCCTATCTTGTTGAGACCCTGCTTTTGTTTGCTGTTGAATGACTTGCTGGAGGTATCGACCACAGCCGTGTTCGTTACCCCGTTAAGGATTTGGCCTTAACCTCTACATTACCGTGCAGGGTCTGCAGCTGCACTCCTGCAACATTAAGGCAGCTTTAAGGTATGCCAAGAGCCCTTTCTCCTACTGAGCTGTGTTCGGTGTATATAAGTAACCAAAGCCACCCCATGGTTATCTTTTGAATTCAGTTCTTCCTTTTTACAACAGCCACAGTATATATACTGTATAAAATACTGTGTAGCCCAAGTGGTAGCTTTCAATTGGGAATAGCCTCATTTATCATCTTTGAGAAAAAAATATTTATTGCTTTTTAGGGGGGGGGGGCTTTGCGACGGTAACCCCCTATATTTATAAAGGGTAAAGCGTTGAGGGTAGTTCTTACTGCGTTCTTTACTGCGGTACCGCTCAAAATCGGGCGGTATAGTGGTAAGTAGAACGGTTAAGAAAAGAGAAGATTCTAGCCCTCTGATTGGTTAAATCGACGGTGCAGATGGTTGCAGGTGGTTGCAGCGATTTGCATAAAAATAAGGATTATTTAACGAACGCTACACGAGCGCAGTACGGCAGTAAGCTTACTGCGATCCGAACCCTGCAAATCTGGATATCTCCTAACTTTATACCGCGGTAACGAACACGGCCCACTTGTTCGTGGAGTGATTGGTAGGTCGACATTCAGGTGCATGCATACCAAGTGAGCTGACTGTTATTACACTACCGCAGAAGGACCATGATAACTTGTCAGTCTGTTAGTGACGTATCTTTGGCAATCAAACATTGAACCGTTACATGGGGACTCGACCATCAACGTCATGAGAGCGAGACATCACCAACCCGCGTGAAAACAATTTGTAAGTTTTCTCAGCTGATGATCTATCATGGGATATCCATTCAGCCGGTGGTTCCATATGGATTCGTACCTCCGCCTCGTGTTAACTGACGGGATCTGTGGCTTCATCGTTCGCAATGTGCATTACCATCCACATCACCCATCTACACCCCACCCAGAAGCAATCAGCAACGTCCTCTTCCATCACCACAGTCTACCATCATCGAAAGGGATGACATCTATCCTCTCTTTCCGTGATCTGTCTTCTTAACTCATAATCACCGCTTCCAACAGTTCCTTTATGTGCTGAAGCCAAACCAGATGCTCTCTATCTCGCCCATGGCAAGAGATCTGTAGCATGATTTCGACGGGAACCTAGGTACTCACAAGATGGGCCGCCAGTTCACGAAAAGTACAGGCACCACAGCAAGGAACTTCTCTACCTACCTAGGCAATCTTGCAAGCCCATTCATTGCCCTGCTAGGTAGTAGATGGGTACCTCCAGGTGACGAGGTTGGAGCGCGTGGGCCGTCGACTTCAACTTGGGAACTACGACTTACCTATCAGCCAGGCATTGATTGACCATACCTACATTGTTAATCATTTGGTCATTATCGTCTGCCCCTACCGTGGACTGGTTGTCCATTCATTCAAACGGCACGAAAGTTCTGCTACATGTACCTTTCAATATCACCGGCGGTCATGGACAAGATGGTAACAGCCAACGTCTTGTCTGCATTGAAACTATGTAGGGTGCCTCTAGGGAATGTTAATTGTGATTATTGTCCAACAACCACAACGCATGTGCATGTGCATGTCTGGAAACAGATTTTCCCACTACCTCTACCATAGTCTGAAACGTTGTATTGAAACCATGTAGGTAATCTTCGCAGACGGTCCGTCCTTGATCCCACAAGGTGATGGGCAAAGGCTGCATGGGATGAATCGGTTTACCGCTGACACCACCCCGTGGGATGAGGCAGAGCTGTAAACTCTTGGAGTTCATCAGTGTCAGCTATGATCATCCTCATCAGGACGGGCTCATAAGGATGAAATTTCACTCACCGGCCTCAGGGGCAGTTTGCGCGATGGCAATGACATCGTGCCCTGGTCTTGGAATCTTGTGTTGAACGTCATGATGCGAACTATGTGACTTGTAACGATGGTGGTCGAACCCGAAGCTCCGCAAGCAAATCAGGTACCTAGAAAAGGCCGAGTCGCTTGATGCTGGACTCGACCTTTTCTACCTCTAGGTAATTTGCTTGCGGAGCTTCTCCGCCTTTTTGTTCTTGCCTCATGAGTAGAGGCACCCTGTTGGTTGATGAGTTTGAGTTAGCCGCCATCCATATGGCTAGTATCAGGCATGCCTGTCATCGACCATGCGCTTCAGAGTGAGTGAGTGAGTGAGTGACTTACCGGACGCAGTCCGTAGCTACGCTGACCGTGGGAGGGCTGCTGGTAGCCGCCCGGGCCCGCCGGCTTTGGAGCTGGATTGGAGCTGGAGCTGGAGTCGGAGTTGGAGAACGCCACACTGGTTCTGGTTGCTCAGGGTAGCAACGGCGAGCAACGGCCTAGGATCCCCCAAGACCAGAAGTGGTATTGACGGGTTCTGCTCACAATGAACACGAAATATCAACATCAATTCAGTTATCGGGCACAAAAGACGAAGCGAGTAATAACTTACCTGGGTCTTGGAGGAGCCTAGTTGTTCAAATAGGTGGAGTGGAGCTATGTTGATTTTGAACTGTTGTGCAGTGTGTCGTGACCAACTTGCTTGAAGTTGTTAGGAATGGAACTGATGCGCCCGAAGGCGATCGATGAGGAATAAAGAAAGAGGAGAGGAGAAGAAATTATTTTTGAGGAAGACGGAGGGGAGGACCGTCTTTATAGACCGCTAGAGAAAGGAGGGGGAACGGGACGGGAAGAGGAAGGGGCCCACTCGAACTTTTCAGCAACAGCTGTCAAGTTTCAAAACGACAGCTTGTTTACGTCCGGCAGACCTTCGAAGTCCACCTGGATTTACAGCAACAGCTGTCACCGTGTCAAGGTGGGAGCCTGTTCACGTCTGGCGGACCGCCAAAGTCCAGATGACACTGCTTGTCGGTACCTGTCAGTGTCTGTAGGCTGGGGCTCTGGCCCTGTGTGTCATCCCTTTGCCAGCCATATGGGAGGGAAGTGGAAGGAACGAGGTCGAAGTAGACAGTACGTACATGTACTCGTCTGGACCATTGTAGCGGCGTCATTCTCCTCTGGTCCAGTCTTCGAGGGACACGTGAGGGATCGAGGTCGACTGATCGGGATGACTGGGACAAATGAGCAAGTGTCTCAGGCAGCAGGACGTGATAGCACCAGTCTGTATTTTGATAGTGGCGGGACTCGACGGCCTCGATGGTGATGATTGAGTGATATGGAACGTAGCCTGTAAACTGTAAAGCAACAAAGTTATCATGATTCAACAACGTCGTCTTGGTATAGCGTAGATATAACCTGAATATGATTGATTTCCAGTTCCCATTCACTCTGAATAGATGTGCTGTTCGATGAACTGATGCGTAACCGTGGTGACGGCAGGCCTAGCAGGGTTGAGTGTCAGGACGGATCTGCCTGGCAGCGTCACTCAGTGCTCAGAATGAATGTGCGAAATATGAGCCCGTCAGGTACTGATAAGTGATTGACCACAACCTCACATAGCGCCCAAAATAACAAAACACCAAGCGAAGACGAAACTCTTCTACCTCTACCACACATCACACCACCACACGTGCTTGGCTCAACAGCCCGCCTCTTCTTCTGAACATTCACGAACGATCTCAAAGAAGACCCAAAAGCTCCCCTCGCCGGCTTCCTCAGCGTCTTTTCCACCAAAACCTCCACTCAAAACTTCGCTCGCGACGGCGCCAATATCATCACAGCGACGCCTCAACAAGGTCATCTTCAGACACAAGAACGAGAGCAGCCCGCTTCAAATTTTAACCAGCCCGGCATCTAGCTGTGAAGTAAGTTTCTTCTCATCCCCGAGAACCAACCCCGACCTTATCACCCTCCGCTTCACTGCTTCAGTTACCTTCCTCTACCCCCTCTCAACCCTCTCTCAACCCTTCCCTTCACCCTCACCACACCCCTCAAACTAACACCCCCTCTCCAGATCTCCTCACTCAAGTTTTTTCCTTTTTTTTTTTTTTTTTTTTTTTTTTTTTTTGATCTCAGGATCATCAGAACCATGGCCCCCCCCCTCAACAACCCCCTCGGCCCCCCCTCCCAACAATCGCCATCACCTCCCCCCCTCACCAAACAACCACAACAACATCCACAACCCAAACCGCAACCGCTACCACCAACACCACGCCCACAACCGGGACTACCACCACAACCACCACCATAACTACCACCACCATCACCCGCACCAGCATCACGACCGCTACTATCGATACCGTCACGGGGACTATTGAACGTAATACGGAAATAACGGAGGAGAGGACGACGTTGAGGATCACGAATGTTACGATGGAGGTGTGGGAGTATGTGGACTAGGTAGAGGTAGCTACCTACCGTACTACCTGCTACCTAGACACCTAGAGGTAGTAAGCGAACTGCTGAGACGGAAGGAAGGGACAGAATGCCTGGGAAGTAAGCTGGATAAGATAATGGATGGATGAAAAGGGGTTGCGTCGGTGTGGTAGGACGTGGGGTGCTGCATGGTGTCGTTAATTCAGTTCCACCTCTAGGGAATAAAGACCAACGCCCGGCTTGCGCAGTATTCGTGTTGAATATCGTGGATACCTACGGTGTCGGTGTGAGTGTGATAGGAATGAGTAGTACCTTAAGTGAATAAGGGTAAACGAGGTAAGCTGGGGGCGTAGAATCATTTTCTGAAACTTGGTATTGTTGAGGGAAAAACAAAGCAAAGCATTGTTGGGTATATCGTATCGTTATTAGTCATCGCGGTTAGTATCCTCCTTCTCTATGCCTTCATCCCCTTCCTCACCTTGAAAGATCCTCCATCTCCCCTCCCCGGACCCCCCCCTCTCTCTCTTCCTTGTAAGCCCTCCACCCACACTTAAAGACCCCTCACCAACTCCCCTAGTGCCATCACTCAGCAGGCTTAACACTCTGCGGATTCCAAAACACCTCCTTGGGATCCCACACCTTCTTCACCCTCCTCAACTCCTTAGAATTACTCCCCCAATACTGCTCCGGCGCATCTTTCAGCTCCGGATCAACATACCCCGCATACGTCCCGAACGCGCCCGTCCACTTGGTGATCTGGTTATGGAAATCCTCCAGGAACCCCTTCGACTTCTTACTAAGCGGCAACCCGACGACATAGCTCTGGTAGAACAGGACCTTGTCTCTATGCGAATAAGCCGTGGCGTTCATAGGCACATCAGCGACAGCGCCACCGGTAGCGTCAAAGATGATGAACCAGAGCGGGGTGCCCTTGTCTTGGGAGTCGGTCCATTTGAAAATGTCGGCGATGCCGGTGGTGTTGATCAGCTCTTCGCGGCGAAAGGCGAGGGACTTGGAGTAGAACGGCGTGGCGAGGCCGGATAGGTACAGGGCTTCGTTTTCGGCGTCGTGGGCGAAAGCCGTGAGCCAGTCGTTGTTACCTACCAGGTCCTGCTTGCCGGGGAGGCGGTCGGGAATACCGCTGGCGCGGTACTCGGCTTCGGTGCCGTAGAAGGTGCCGGTGATGATGGCGCCGGTGGGGTTGAGAATGAATTCGGTGCCGAAGCGACGGTCGAGTTTGGGATCGGAGATGAGGTCTTGCCAGGCTGAGTAGGTCGAGGCGACATCGGCGGATTTGCCAAAGATGAAGGTGTAGCTGTACTGGACGACGTTGGCGGGCTCGGGGTGCGTGCGGACAACGAACTCGGTGATGACGCCAAGATTGGAGGCGGCGCCTCGAAGGCCCTGTTCTTTGTTAGTGGCTGGTCGCGAATCAACGAAGAGACAGGCATACCCAGAACAGGTCAGAATTTTGAGTCTCGCTCGCGCGCTGAATTTTGCCATCAGCAGTGACCACTTCCACCTCGACGATGTGATCCAAGGCGCTTCCCCACATGCGCGACATTGGGCCAAGACCACCCTAGGGAAGACGTCAGTAACCTAGTCTATCATGAATCTTGAGTGCTGAGGACCTACAATGGTAGCATGTCCACCAATACCCACGTCCGGACATACGCCATAAGCCATGGCCCGGCCGCCCGCATCATGTAACCTATCCGTGACATCTCCCAGATGGCTGCCAGCACCTATTGTAGCTTGCCATGTCTTGTTGTCCATGGAGAACTGCTGGAAATTGACAAGGTCGATGGTAATCACTCCATCTTGACCTCCCCCTAGGCCTACGTCCATCTCAGTCAGCATCTAAGCGATTATCAGCCCCAGTCTGTGTCCCAAAGTAACATACCGTAATTCCTGCATTTCTCATTAGCAATGATTAACCGCATACAAAAGTTGGAGCAAACTCACCCGAACGAATGTCCTCCTGACTTGGCCTGCACCTTATACCCGTTCTGTGTCGCACACTTGATCACCTCGGCAACGTCGTTGGAGTCCTTGGGCCGCACAACGGCCTCGGGATGCACCTTGATATCGAGGTTGTACGGCTTGACCCATGCTAATTGGTAAAGAGGTTGACTGGGATATGCTGCGAAGCCAGAGCGGCCGTTGGCAATGCCATTGATGCACGTTTGGAGTGCACTGTGACCTTGTCCCATTACGGCTTTTGGTCCTGATGATGAATTGTGTCCGGGCTAGGTTGACCAAATGTAGGGCCAAGTGTATAGAGAACAAAAGAAGAAAGGAAAGCAAGAACACGCGGTGAGAGTTATAACGGACTTGAGGCTCAAGTGTTTGGAGAATGGAGCAAACACGGGACCCGAGTGCCGAACTGGTCGAAAGGAATGCGTGATAAACGGTGGGTAGGTGGAGCGTACATGGACATGGGAGGTATCATCCCAAGCTAAAAGCAGAGCTGAAGGCATCCATCATGTAGTGCAGGAAATCCGAGTGGAAGGAGACGGTCAAACAAGGCGCAGTGCGTTGACGTTGACCTAATAGCAGGCACATTATAAGGTCAGGTCTGTCAGGGTTTAAGCAGAAATGACTGACGGAAAGCGCCTACAGTTGACCTCAGACGAATAAACGACTGGGAAAGGGTAGGTCGGTAGAGGTAGGCTTTTTTTTTTCCACTTGGAGAAGCCACATTGGACGGGTGGCATGACGGAATCTGGTCCGGACAGCCACCTTGAACGCCTTGGCCCGATGTGTGGATGACAGAAGGAGATTGGTAACGGCTTGTTGGATCCGAGTTTGCGGGATGGGAGTCGTCGACTCGTCAGATGAGGCCATGAAGAGTGGATGTGTAACCCATCGATTTTGAGGCTCAGCGGTAGTACAGTTTTGGAGTTGATGGGTCCAGTTGTCTGGCAGTACATCACGCTGAAATCCAACGCGCCGTGAAGTAACCAAAACGAAACAAGAAAACCATCACTTGATGTCTGTGAAAGCAATACCTCTCTCAAAGCCAAGATTGAGATGTACATATCACGGCTGACATCAACGCCCAGCATCCTCCCCCCAAACAGAATCGACCAAGTAGTGACGAAGCCCGAGATCATAAACAGAGTTGGTTGTGGTTACCTCGCGCATTGGCTACGTCAAAGCACAGGAAGGGAAAGGGAGGGGGGCGGAGTACGGGTAAAGGAAACAGGATGATGTTGGGAGACGAGTACATCTTTCGTGCCCAATGAGTAGTCCTCGCAAATGGAAACAATGAATTCCAGGGGGCACAAGAAAGCAAACCTGCTGCTGTGACAACGTTTTCGTCCAACAGCAATCTCGTCCCGTTACTGTACCGCATGGATGATCATCAGAGTTTGTTCGTTGCGTTTTTGTTGTGTGGTGGTGTTGGTGTTTCCATTGCCGCCTGCCTGCCTTCGGGTACAACCTCGGTATCCTTCCGAATAGGAACACCGAACGCAGGTAGGCGGTGCAATTTTTGAGCGGTTTCGAAAATGGAGAGACGAGGCCCAAAACGAGATGCCAGTGGTTACCTACCAAGCACCTATGTAGCTGGGCAGGGCAGGGCAAAGCAGGGCAGAGTCATAGCATGGCATGGCATGATGCCCAAGACTTTGGTATCCAATCGCGCGCCGTTCTTCTGCTGCGGTTTTGTGCATCGAAGGTTGAAAGGGAAGTTTTCTTTGGGCTCCGTCGAAGAAGAATACGAAGCCAATGGCCGGACGAGGAGGAGAGATGGGATGACGTTGGAAGAAACAAGACGAGTTCGCAAAGAAACGAGGAGGGGTTCGTGACGGGGCATGCTGTGATTGGTCAATAGTCTCCAAGGGGGCCAGTCGCAGGATCCTGGCAATATCATGCGGGTCTAATTGGTGCCATACTAACATTTTATTGGGCTGTGATCGTCGCAGGGCGTTAACTGCGTAACATCTGCAGCTGGAGAGAGGAGTCGCTAAAATCGTTATTACCCTATCCTATCAGAGGGAAAAGAAAGAAGAAATTTGTTAGGGCTGGATCTCTGCAAGCTCCCTCCCACGACACCTAAAGATCAAGTTTGTCCCCAGCGTTTCACCATCTGTGAATAGCTTCGCCATATCCCTTCTGGCCTCGCATGTATACTCTTGATCATCAATATAGAGAAGCAAGTCACATCTCTCACGACCATCCACCAGATAATAAATATGACGAATTAACGACAGAAGTTATTCCACATTCAACGAACTCCCAAACCACAAGCAAGTCCCCAAACACAAAAGAAATTATCAAAAGTCAAGGTAGCTATCCAATTTTATCTCCCTTCACCAGCACAAGGGGCACTCACCGAGTCACCACCTCCAAGCCCCCGGCACCTCCATCTCATCATCGACCGCCACCCCCTCCATATCCTCCATATCCTCCACCTCCACTACCCGCCTCGTCGCAATCCCCAGCTTCATACCCATCCCCATCCCCATGATTCCCATCTCCTTAAAAGGCAACCCCTCCTTTTCTGGCGTCGTCGGGGTCATCGGCGTCATCAACGCCTCCATAGTCGAGCTGGCATTCGACATTGTCTTGATGCGTACTCTCCTCCCTCTCATCCTCCCCATACTTCTCATTCTCATGCTCTCATTGCCATCGCCATCGCCATCATCTTCCTTGTAGGGAGTAGTACGAGTAGCAACTCGAAGCTCATCATGTTCATCGCAATCGGAGCTCTCGGCACTACTTCCCCTCAGACTGAGGGAGGGTTCGGAGCCCCAGCTTGCACTGGGCGTTCCGATGACGCTTCCACTGCCGCTGGCACTGCCAGTTGAGTCCAGACGGCTGGAGGTGGTGCTGTTTGAGTCGGAGGCGTCGGCGTCGTGTTCCTCTTGGTGAATGCCTTGATCTTGATGCTGGACATGACCTCGACCTCGACCATCCTCACCCGAAGCACATCCACCCCCACCCCCAGCCCCAGCCCCAGCTCCAGCTCCAGCCCCAGCCCCAACACCTCCAACATCCCCCTCCACCTGCCGCTGCAGCCCAACACCACTTTGCCACGGAATCTCCTCTTCCTTCTGCCTCACCCCACCCTCCACCATCCACCCCTCCGTCCTCTCCCTCTCCTCTCTACTCTCACACCTCTCCATCTCCTCCCCCTCCATCGCCTCCTCATACATCTCCCTCATCCTCTTCACTTTTTCTTCGTCCCTGGGGACCGCATCAAACGGGAACCGACACGGCTTGGCAATCAGCAACGGCGTGTAATCGTTCCAGTGCACCGGCATCTCGGCACCCGTCACCGGGTCCCGTTTCTTGCTGATGGTGAAAGCCCAGGCCATGCCGCCCATGGTCAAAAAGAGATCTTGCTCGACGATGGGCACGCCTTGGCAGGTGCGGCGGCCGAACCCGAATTGGGAGAAGCCCGAGAGGTTGGGGTAGATGGTCAAGGGTTCGCGGTAGGTGGGGTAGGAAGGAAGGAGGAAGCGGGAGGGGTTGAAGGTTTCGGCTTGGGGATAGGTTTGTTCGTCGCGGGTGATGGCCCTGTGGAGGTGATAAAAGGGGTGTTAGTATGGGCGGGCGAGGGGAGTTGATGGGTAAGAAGAGGAAGGAAAGGAAGAAGGAAAAGACTCACCACTCAAGAGCATGGATCGTAGCTCCGGCGGGGATGAAATACCCATTATAGACATCATCCTTTTCAACCGCATGGGGGATCCCTAGAGGTAGGTATCATCACGATCATCAGCATCTTCCCTCCCTCCCTCCTTCTTCACTAATATCAACTTAGGGAAGGAAGAAAGAAACATACCAGTAGGCACCGGCGGCCTCCACCTAATAACCTCCTTAACCACCGCCCTCAAAAGCGGCAACTTCTCCCGATCCTCCCACATCGGACACCGCCCCGCCAACTCCGTATCAATCTCCTCCTGCAACCTAGCCTGCCACTCCGGATAATGACACATGGCCAAAATATAACTCTGAATCGGGCTTCCAATCGTCAGTGCTCCCGCAATCGCCATCAGTCCAACAACATGCATCGCCTCATCCGCTGCTTCCTTGCCTTTTTGCTCGTCGCATTTCTTGTTGGTAGAATTGATCGATCCCTGTTCTTCCAAATAGGTACGAATAAAAGAAGGCTCGGCGCGGCCTACGTCCATCATCCTTTTGACGAACCCAATGTTGGAGCGGAACTGTTTGTCTTCCAGCTCATGGCGAGCTTTTTCCTTTTTCTGCCAAGGCGAGAGGGCGAGGGGGAGGTGCCGAAGGAAGGAGATCACGTTGGGCAGGGCGCCAGAGGGGGAAATGGTTTCGAGAAGCCCAAAGGTGGTGTGCCGGAGGATTTGGGCTGGGTGGGCGCTGCCCCATGATAAACGCGCGATGGTGCGCGAGGTGAATTGCTCAATGTACTCGATGTAGTTTTCGGGGGATTGGGAGAGCAAGTACAGAAAGCGGTTGCGCTCGAGCGTGGGGTAGTCGTGAAGGGAGGCGAGGGCGGAGGTGTGCATTAGGTGGTTGCAGAGTTTACGTTGGCGTCTCCAGGTGTCTGGTTCAACTTGTCAGTACGTACTTACTTACGGGGACTCGTGATAGGTGAGGTAAGGTGGGAGAAAGGGCTTACCATTTCGCCCAAGAAGAGCCAGGTAATCACCACTTGTCCGGTTATCAGGCAAGTTGGGAATCTGTGGCCGGTCAGAGTAGATGTTTGCTCGTCGGGATAGGAGGTCGTGAGCAATCTTCTCTGAGGAGATCCAGACGTGAGTGACGCCGAACATCTTGGTCTGGTAAATGGGGCCGTAGACTTTGCTCCATTCATGGAACTTCAGCCATGACCCCTTTTCTGGTATATCGTGAACACGACCTATCAAAGGGAGATCTGAGATGGAAGTTTTGTTCAGTCAGCCAAGTCCTTGTTCTATACATCTTGGAAATGAACAGGAAACTATTGAAAACTCCCGTCATAGTAGACATGTTTCTATGACAGAAGAAAGAAAGAAGTCAACTCACTAGTAGGCCCGGGCAATGGCCGGCTGCCACCACGTAACCTCTTCCTCTCCAACCATCTCTGTACCAACAACAAGACCACCAACACGGTCAGGAGGGTTATTGCGAAAACACACGGCATGTTGTGTGTCTGTGTCTCTGTTTCTCCTCTCCGAGGAGCCGTTGGCCGCCGGCGGCTGTGGGAAAAGACACAAACCAAATTGGACGGGAAACCAGGAAGCAGGGATTTGACGCCCGAAACACCCGGCTTTGGGCAGGAAGAGAGCAATAGAACGGAAATACGAGATGCAAAGACAGTGAAACTCGAGAGTCTATCCGTGGTCTACCGTCTTGCTCGGATCCGTCTTCTGTTGGGTAGAGGTACTGAGACTTAGTTTCCGGGAGTATGATGGCTGGCTCTCGGACTCAAAACTTCGCAGACACAGCCGCACTTGTTCGGTACGGTGGCTATGCGTCGGAGGTTGTATATAAGAACTGCAGTGAAAAACAAAAGGGCGTGCAAAAGACTACCTGCGCTGAAGGGGGGAATGGGCAGTCAGCGACTGGTAAGTGGTCGGTTTGTATGTCAAAATTTAGGGAGGTAAGCTCTCCGAGATGAGCGAGGGAAAAGTAAGGTCTTAGTTATGTGAGATCTTACAACGAAACTTTCGGAACACATCTTCTACGTCAATTCGTCGTCCGCTGAGTGACGGGGTTATATCTGGCAAGGTCCGGTATAGATAAGGCTTTGCCGGACCTTGGCCATCACCCCTGGGATGATCTTAATCTTCATGAGGCTGACCTGACTTTCCCTGCCAGCAACAGATAGGGAATCCGCTGTGACCCTCTCATTGAGACTAACACTTGGGAGGAACCTGAATCGCCAATGTAGCTCTAATGCTCACTTGCTACCATCGATGTTGGGGAAAACCGGTTATTATCGAAGAACGACATCATCGTTTTGTCACAAAAGGCAGCAATCTGTAAGGAGATAGAGGTGTAGCGGCCATCTCGATCATTCCCCTTCAAGTTGTTGCAGGCCTGCTCCCATCATTAGTCAAGATAGGTTACCAAGAATCTGAGGGCCATGGCTAGCCGCTCAAGTGTGTATGTAGGTGTTGTAGTGGATGTGAGTGACGGTGTCATTCTATGCAGGCCAGCTGCCTGGCCAGGTAGCGTGATGTTCGAAGGGTGCCATTTGAGAGAGCAAATCGTCATCCATCTGCGACTCGTTGAGAGGCTAACGTTATCTTTGGCTGGCCCACCAGACCTCCCATGGCGGGCGGCAGGGCAGTTGCATGTTGTATAAAGTCGCCCCGGCCAATGGCCTGACCCTCACTGAGCCCTAGTCCAGTTGGTGCCACTAGACATGCTGATGTGAATCCCATAATTGAGGGAAAAATAAAAAGAGGCCCAGGCCGCCTTGCCGTCGGGGGATCAGGAATGGTGGTCCCCTCCGGAGATGCTCGACGATGTCCGGGACCTCCTGAAGCAACGCGGCTCCGACGTATGTTGCTGTAAGCTCGAATTTGCTCGAGGTTGGAGACTTTGAAATTTGGGACAATGATGTGATGGTATGTAGGTCAATTAGTGACTGCCTTAGGTCATGCGTTCGGAATGGTGGATCAGATGCATATCGTTGCGAGGCCAGCTCTCTCCAATTTCCGCCGTTGTCAAGTCAATATTCATCGACTTCATGAATCTCAGCACGTTGTCCGGTCACCAATTGGGGCACGATTGATAACTCGTAGTGTATGGCGGCCGTCGTCTTCGCTGACGCCGCGGGGATGTCCGCCTGGAGTTGAAGATGTAGTTGAATAATCATGGAAGTGTCGGTCCTCTGTGACCAGATTCGTCCATGTTACATCAAGTTGTTTGGATTTTCAGACCGGGACGTAGGAGGCTTTGGAGAGGGTTACGCAAAACCTAGTCTTCTCTCCGCCGGTAGCACAACGTTGAACTTGTCATTGGCCCTGTAGGTCAGTAGTCTTGATGGGAGTGTAGTGTTAGGCTGTTCTCTACGTCGAATCGAACGAGAACCGAAATGACAGGCACACGAGATGGTATCGTAGAATTCCAGATCCTAGGGATGAGATCAAGGACACTTTCGCGGCGCTGTCAAGCGGGCCAATGTTGAGGCTGACGGCAAGAAGGGAAACGCACTGTAAGTGTGAGCTGCCAGGCCCTTCTGCTCTCTGCAAGTGTCAATACTGCGACCTTTTTCGCGTTAGCATCAACAAAAGCAAATGAACGGGCCCTAGTATCAAGGATGAACTCGATGGCTTCGACACCGAATCGGTCACCATTCCAAAGAATAGAAAGTTGATAGACGTCGGACTCTTTGACCAGCCGTCCAGGGCCGTGGAACATCCAGACCAAGCTGCAACTAAAATCACTTCTGAACTCAGAAACGATGAGAGCGAAGTGAAAGATGGATACTGCCAGCGGCTGTCAATGTTGGTTCTCGCATTTGAAGCGGCAGTTGGATGGCATGGACTGGCATCCGCGGCCCTCGGGGGTGAGTGCGTCCCGTCCCGTTGAGGGCTGCCATTGCCGAAGCATGCATGCGGCTCCCCGTAGCCCGCGACCTTCCTCCGTATGTCGGCCGGTCTTCGGTCCCTGAGAGGGTAGCTGGAACTGGCTTGATTGTATCCCATTGAGCATGGAACCATGGTTGACATTAGGGTTGATCAGACGGGAGCAAACTCCTAACAGGAACTGAAAATTTGTTTTGGCCCGATGGATTCAATATCTGATGGAGCTCACTCTACTCGGTTCCGTTGCCTCCAGTCGGCGTTTGGCGGATCTGCTCGTCAATGTCAGCATTATCAACATGATTCAGCATATCACAACACCAGGAAACATCGACTAGCTTGCTTGAACTTTTTTTTTCATTTCATCCAGACCGTACTCCCAAGATTTGAGTCCTTCTCCCCCCCAACGCCTTTTCTCCTTCTTCTTTCTTGCTTAAGCTTTGACATTCAAATCGTCATCAAGCATGATGTTGGTCACGCTGCGAGGGTCCAACCGCAATGCTGCTTCCGCTTGCTTCTGCATCTGCTTTTGCGTATGTTGCACGCGCGGAAGCGATGCAAGGTGAGCTGATGTCGGTTAGGCTGCATTTTCCACTCCACCGAACACTGTGCGCATACAGTTGTCAAAACACTGATTTTGTGCGTGCATTGCGATGTTGGTTGGGGAACATAATTTCGTCGGTCGGGCAACTCGTCGTCCTTCTTTTCTTCGTTGATTTTGAACAGAACCGTTGCTTCTCAGATTGGGTATATAAGTTGGAAACATCAACGTTCGGCTACTCGCTGTGAAGATGAGTGATGATCGCATACATTTTACATACTAAATCGCCCAAGTCAGCCTATTAGTCTTCCAATCCATGCAACCATCACATCAGTCAGGGGCACCAGGAGAAACATACCGGTCGACAGGGCTCAATCCAATGAGGCGCATGCCGTTAGCCAGGACAGTCTGCACAGCAGTGTACAGGGCCAGACGGGCCTTCATCAACTCAGGCTCGCTACCGACGACCTGGAGCTGGTCGTAGCTGCTGCTGAGCGCGTGCGTCAACTTGAACAGGTAAGTAAGGACAGTGGTGGGCTCGAGAGTCTTGAGCGTGTTCTTGACCACATCAGGCCAGCCGGCCATGTGGCGGCACAGGTTGATGGCGCTGGTCTCGGTAAGGAGAGACAGGTCAGCAGTGGCGAGCTCCTCGTCGGACACGCCAGCCTTGCGCCTGATGGAATTGAGGCGAGCGTGGGCGTACTGCAGGTACGGGCCGGTGTCACCCTCAAACGAGGTCATGGTCTCCATATTGAAGGTGTAGTTGTTGATTCTGCAAGGGATCTCGTTAGCTTGATTTCGGAACCCTATAAGATAGCCGGGAACCCATCTTACCTCTTTCCAGACATGTCCTGGACCATGACGGACGAGATACCGAGAACATCGGCGGTGGCCAAGGGGTCCTCGATCTGGGAGTACTTGTTCTCGTTCTTTTTCATGACCTCGTGCATCTTGTCGGCGACGTCACGGAGAATGTCGTCCAGGAACTTGACGGTACCCTTGCGGGTGGACATGCCAAGGACGAGACCGAAGTTGATGTGCTGGCACTTGTCGGCAATGTCCTTGTAGCCGAGGAGCTCGATGATCTTGAACAGCTGCCTCAAGTGGAGGTCCTGAGCAGAAGCAACGACGTAGATCATCTTGTCGAAGTTGTACTTTTCGTGGCGGCCGAGGAGCTCAGAGATATCACGGGTAAGGTAGAGGGCAGTGCCGTCCCTCTTCCTGACAAGAGGCTTCTCGAGACGCTTGCCCTCCTTGCCGGGAACGAGCTCGGAGAAGTCGATGAGCTGAGCGCCCTTGTCCTCCTTGCAGATCTTCTTCTCCTCCATGAGGTTGCCGACCTTGTTCATGGCCTCCTCGGAGACCTGGGATTCACCCGAGTACTCGTCGAAGTGAATGTTGAGGCGGGCATACGTGTCCTTGTAGCGAACAATGGAGAGGTCACGGAAGCGCTTCCACATGGCGAGGGCATCGGCGTCGCGGTCCGTCATCTTCTTGAAGTAGCGGCGAGCCTGCTCATCCAAGCTGTTGGCCTCGAGAGCAGAGACATCCTCGCCGGCCTCCTTGCGCTTGGTGAGCTCCTCCTTCTCGGCGGTCATCTCGGTGTTGATGCGGACGTAGAGCTGGAAGAGGTGGTTGATGGGGTCCTTCTGGAGGGCCTCCTCGTCGCCATACTTCTCGTAAGCAAGGGCCAAGAGACCGTACTGCTTGCCCCAGTCGCCAAGGTAGTTGATACGGATGACATCCCAGCCAGCGCCGGCGTAGAGGTTGGAGAGGAAACCACCGATGATGGTAGAACGGAGATGGCCGGCGTGGAAAGGCTTGGCAATGTTGGGGGAGGAGAACTCGACAATGATGCGCTTCTGGCCCTTGCTGGGGTCCTTGGGGTCCTTGAGACCATCGGCCTTGTTGAAACCGTACTCGGCGCCCTTGTGCTGGACCATGGGAATAACGGCGTTGACGAGGGGAGAAGCCTTGACGAAGAAGCTGAGGTGGATCTGGCTAACGGTGGGCTTGGTGAAGAGGGGATCGGTGTCGGGGAACTGGAGTAGAGGCGAGAGTGTCAGCTACCGTCTGCAAAGCGCAATTATCGCACGGCATCGCATGTCTGTCTGGCTGATGTATGTACCTTGGCAGCCCACTCCTGGGCGAGCTCGTCTGGCTTCTTGCCCTTCACCCTGAGCGAGGGGACGGGCAGGGCAATGTCGCCCTTGTCGAGACCCGAAGTCCATCCGAGGTTGGGGTAGATGATGGCAGTGTCGACGCCGGTGACCTCGGACAGGACGTTGGCGAGGTGGGCGCGGTAGAGGTCCATGAGGTTCAAGTCCGGGTAGGTGTCGGGGAACTTGGCCTTGACGGCGTCGAGGTTGAGGCCATCGACCTGCTTGACCAACTGGTCAATGGGAGCGGCGACGGCGGTCATTGTGCTGCTGTATGTGCGGCGTGCTGCGCGACCTGGACCTGGTGTTGTTGAAAGGCTGCTGGCGATGCCGGTGGTGGTGTAGTAATGAGAGGAAGCGATTTTGGTGGAGGAGGGGCAATTCCGGAGGTACAACAAGTGGGGGCGGCTCGAGTAAACAAAGGTCGTCCTTCCAGGGCCGAGAAGAGGGGACTTGGGGGCTGCTGAAGGCCGAAGAGACTTGAGAGAATGGGGAGCACGTAAAACACCGCGCGAAAAGAGTGCTTGACAAGCCGTCATGAGCAGTGGTTGATCCTTCTAAATAAAAACAATTCTTGTTCCCATGTACTATCCCGATCCAATTGGGCGTATGAGTCGTTCTACAAGGCTGTAACCTTGGACTTTTCAGTGACTCAAAATTTCTTTGCACGCATCGCCCAGTCAAATTGACTCAGTGCAGGTTGTGCACGGTCCAGCATCGCAGGATAGAAAAGTTACAGCCAATGAGGAGGCAGAAAGGTGCCTGTTTGAGTCAAAAGAGGACCGTGCAGGACCAGGTGGCTAGGCGGATAGGGTCTGGCCTGGGCAGTTCTCTCCACGCGGGTAGGACGGGGGAGCACCAACGCTACCATCCCGCTGCGGGGGTAGGGCAGTGACAGCTTCAGGCCCCCGGGTTTCATCGAGATCCTCAGGTCAGTCATTGTCAAGTATCATCTTTTTTCCTTCTATCAATGGTATCATTTCTATCAAGTACACACGGTAGGTCTGCGTCCTACAAACCTGTACATAAACATCCAACTACTCAAAACGCATACTCCTCCACGAAAAGGCCAATCCCCTGTGCCCCCGTTCCCTTGTGCACCGCCCTCTCATCCGCCAAACTGGCCACACAATTCCTCACCTTCGCAACCAGGCTTGGTCCTCCACAAACCACCACTTTCGTCTCTCCCCCTGTGGCCTCAACCGGCGCTCTAATGAAGGCCGCAATGTCCGGCCTCGTGGTTGAGTAATGCACGTGTGAATCAACGCTAGCGTTACTTAGTGGTCGCCGGGGTGTGAGGCTGAAGATTATATCTTCTACGTCTCGCCCGCCGCCGCCGATGGTGTTTGCTCTCTTCTCCTGGTCTCCCGAAGGTTGGATTGAGTCAGGACTGTTTTCCGTTCGGGTCTTGCCTAGGTTACTATCCCAGGATGATGCCCTCGATGATGACTTCCCCTCTGTCCTTTCGCGCTCCCTTGTCGTCGGGAGGATGGAGAAAGGCGGAAGGGATGGAGTGCCACTTTGGGTGATAGCGACATGTACAAGGAGCTCGATGCCGACTTCCTTGGCGCCATCGAGAAACTCGTGGAGACGCTTGACGTAAAAGTCGATTTCTTCTCCTTGTTTGGTGGTGAGGAGAAAGTCAATTCGCTTGACGCAGTTGGTGCTGGCGTTGGCGAGGAGGTCTTCCAGGATGGGTAAGGTGAATGAAGCGCCGGTGGAGGCGGAGATGAGAATGACCGTTTCGTAAATGTCCAGACGGGGCGGCATGCCGTAGGGCCCAGAGACGAAGACCGTGTAATTACCCTTTTTCTCTTCAGCGTGGTCTTTCATCGCGCGCTCATGGAGCCGCTTGGAGAAGCCGCCGTGCTTGCGGACGACGAGTTGGATGCTGTTGCAGATACATGTTCCTGGGAGCTGGTGGGCGCAAGCAATGGTGTATGGATGCGCTTCCATGGGCCCGATGGCCGGTGCCCAGAGGTAAAGATGTTGTCCGGCCTTCCACTTGAAGTGGACATCCTTGATGTTGATGACCGTGATCGAGTCACCAACCGCCCTGATCTGAGCAAAGTGGCCGATCCTCTGACCTCCCTTGCACTTTGACCTGTTCGGCCTGAACTTGACGTTCTGCCACACCAACAAGACCGTCCTGCACGCTCGATCAAAGCAAAGCGCCCCAATTGAGAACCAAACGTTCCACCTCGCGTAGACCGGAATGTGGACATATACCAGCCAGATAAACAACACAGCACTAACCAAATGCTGCAACACAAAGAACTCATACCCCAACCTCCTCAGTGGCGCGAACCCTGAGATCAACGACCAACCCAACACCGCCCACGCCGCCATTCCATACTTGACCATGCCCATCATCTGCATCTGGAATTCCAAGATGCCGGCCCGCTGCCACTCTGTGAAGAAATGCCATCCATGCACCGCGCCCGTAACGAACATGGTCCTGCCGACCCACCGATGCAGCCAGTTCAGCCTCTCATGACCGGTCCCGACAATCAACCCAATGATGCTGCACTTGGACGCCAGCAGATACAGCAACGGCATTTGCATGACAGTGATCCAGGCGTTGCGGAACCCGATGCGCTCCCAGAAAAAGGCATCGTTCTTGATAGCGTTGGCAGTCATCATGCTGATAATGATGGCCCAGTAGACGAGGAGGGTGATTACCCGCCCGAGGGGAGGGGGCGTCATCCAGGAGAACCATGACGAGGGGACGTAAAGTTGAGGGTAGCTGGATTCGCGAACGAGGGCGGTTAGAGTGGCCCAAATTTCGAGGAACTTGTTCGAAGGTTTCGTTGGGTACTGAACCGAGTTGGCGAAGCGTTTTTGTAGCCTTTGCGGGGTTTAGCATATTGACTGTTCAAAAAAAGGGGTAAGGGGGAAGGAGCAGAACAAACCTCGTTCGGCTCTTGTAGAGGTTGACTAGACGACATAGGGCCAGGAATCCTAGTACGGCGGCGATGATGTACCAGAAATCATGGGCTAGCCCCATGTTTGTACCCTGAAAGGAATTCGGACCTCCCATCGACATACCTCCCATCGACGACATGTCGTGGCCTCCATGCCTGCGCTCCATCTTCTCCATGTTGCTGGCCTTGACTGCCACGAGGCAATCTGTTCAGCTGTGATTTGGTTCAATCTTTAGGTCTATTTCGTATTTGGCGATCCTTGTCTCGGGCGCCGTTTTACTTGGGTTTGGTGACGTCCTGTGAAGTCTGGAAATGCGCGTGACGGGTTATGTCATGGTTCGTCCTGGCGGTATAAATGATGATGGAGTTCAGGACAAGTGGACCGCTCGAACGAAATGGCTACCGAACCAACACGAGGGGTGATAGGATACAGTAACGGACAGATGAAGAGTTAAAAATAATGAGAAAACCGACAAGCAGTAATCGAATTTGCAAAAAGCCAAAAAAGGAAATGTCAGACGACTGTTTTCGATATCTGTCAAGAATAATAGTAGGGTGGGGGGCGGATCGCAGGTCCCTGATGAGCAAGTTTCTTCGGTAGGGAAATAAGATCGTGGCGCGGCGTGGAGGGTGCGCCAAGAAATCAGTTTTGGAAGGCACTTCCTCCCTGTTACGGCTGGTTGTTCAACTTGTTCTATTGATCACTGCACCCACTCGGGTTTGCGTCTTCGTTTTTTAAAGCCAAGAGAATCGATGATGATTTTGTCTTGAAATCGTGGGAAAAAATGATTTGGAGACCAGACGGTGAATTGCCCGTTCGTGCTTGGCCCAACTGCTACATGTTCCCAACCAAAGGTACTACTGTAGCATTCATGGGGAGCCGCTTTTTGGCCGCGGTCGGGACAGACGAGGCTAGACCCTCGTCAAGACGACGGTGAAAGAAAGGAGGAGCTCAAGATGACGATGAGAGTCCAGAATGATATATGTAGCCCTTTGTATCGGTCAACACGGCAACCTCGAGTCCTGGTGGCTCGAATGTTTCTCGAAGCCGCAATGTCTCATCAATCAATCCAACTCGATGCAGTGGTGGGCTCGTCATCGTTTTTGTTTTTATTCAAGATCCGAAGCGGCACCTGTCCGTCGCAAAACTCAACGGCGCGGCCGGGACCTGGCTTGATGTCGAAATCGCGAAATGCGGTTGGAAAAGAGGAAGGGATTGTCGATGAAGATGGGAAGATGGGAGGAAAGAGCAAGTTTTTACTGGCTCCAAACTGGGCTCCAAGGGGGGTGGACCCTGTCGGCAGCTCGGGCGCTAGTGAGGCCACAACTTGCTCAAACCCACTCGCGAATCTCACGCTTTTACCAACTGGGGCTTAGCGGCGTGCCGATAATACAGCCCCAAAGGGCTAAGCGTGTCAGCATTTAGTGTTGCACAACTGCCCCACTTGTTCAGCGAACTTCAGGTCAATCAACATCCAAACGTTTTGGACGACAGACAACAGACGGCGCAAACAAAGGCTGTGATATGACACACAGACAAGTGTCTGGAGAAGGGAAAACTGGAGGAACGGATCAAGTTACATGGGACTCCGTTCTTGCCTCGTTGGCGGTGCAACTCGAATCCTGCCTTCCCCTTGAGTAGTGGCCGGGAAACATCGTGTCGTGTTTTGCGCAAGTTTGTGGAGCAAGACTTCCAACCTTCCAAACTCACTAGTAACCAACACACCACATGCGGTGAGTCTCAGATGTACTCTCGGATCTCCAACTCGTCAGCCTCAGACTTTCGTCTCCGGTTGTTTTCGAATACGATTCTGGCGACACAGGTCATGTTTGCGTTGCGATGATGCACGTTTCCCAACCTGGTGTTCGTCCCATGGTCTGGACTTGGATCAAAGGGAGAAGATCAGAATGTGGAGGTCAAACACCGAACCCAACGAAAAGTACCTAGAGGTAGGGTTCCTGGAAGACGGGATTAGCGGTCGTACCTGACATCGCCGCGTGGTTTTATTCCCCATCCCGTTTGGAATCCACAATATACATTCAGGTACCAACCTACATAGAAGCAGTATCGAATCCAATTGTATTTGTCACTCGTTGCTTTTAGTCCCTCTTGTTCCCGGCATCCGTCCGTGGTGTTGGACCCTTCCAGCCTTCTCCAGCCGCGGCTTGCATCAGTTCCACATCCTGTCGGTCCCGGTCCGGCCATTGTCTGCAGCCTTTACACTTACATATCTACCTCCCACTCGCCTCGCTGCCTACCTTACCTACACTCCTCTTCCACTTTTTTGCTCTTCATTCAAGCCAGTCCCATCACCACGGCACCAACAACAACAACAACAGCCAAGGACGCCACCACCACCACCACCACCACCCAACAGAGCTACCGACCTCAACTTTCTTCCTCACAATAAAAAACAAACAACAACCGAACAAAATGCGCTCCCTCTCCCTCTTCCCCACCGTCCTCCTCTCCCTCACCACCCTCGCCAACGCCCACTTCCTCTTCAACTACCCGCCCTCCCTCGAAGGCTCCTCGATCGACGAGGACAAAGAACCCGACGCCCCCTGCGGCGCCAAGACCCCTAACCTTTCGTCTGACACAACTACTACCGACTTCCACGTCGACGGCGACTTCATCTCGCTCTATGCCGGCCACCCGCAGTTCACCTGGCTGTACCGCGCCTCGGTGCAAGAAGTCAGCGAGGGCAACTGGACGCAGCTGTTCCCGATCGTGCAGCAGAGCGGTCTGGGCGATTTCTGCTCGACGCAGGTGAAGGCGCCCAAGGAGTGGGTGGGCAAGAAGGGCGTGGTGGGCGTTGCTGGGATTGGTGGAGATGGGACTTTGTTCCAGGTGAGCTTCTTTTTTCTTCCATCTTTTTTTTCTCCATCTTTTCTTTTTTGTTATCTTCTATTTTTGTTTGCCTTGTTGGGCAGTAAACGAAACAAAAATGGAGAGGAAGAAAGTAAAAGACAAAAAGACGCTAACAAATGTAACCAGTGCGCCGTCGTCAACTTCGTCGAGGGCACCAACGCCAACATGCCGAGCGCGTGCAAGAACAGCACGGGCGTCACGGCCGCTTACACCAGCGATGCTGACCTGACCAAGTTGGTCGGTGACCATGTGGAGGCATCCCCGAGTGCCACGGGTACCGGTGCTGCCCCGGCTCCTTCGACTACCGACAAGACTGAGAATGCTGGTGTGGTTGTTCGTGGCGGAGGCCTCGCGGCGCTGGGTGCTGCGGTTGTTGCTGGTGTTATGATGCTTTAATACTCTGGGGGGAGATAATGAGGAAAGTCGCGGCGGTCCAAAGGAAAAGGGTGGTCACTCAGGTCAAGATAGATATGGGGAGCAGCATAGGACGCTGTATAGGCATTATAATGTGATATTGTTAATGACCAGTTTTGTGTTCCATTGTGTTGGTGATGATCGGCCCGAACACCTGGAGATAGATTCAGCGGAGGTTTCAGTGTCCGTCGTGCCTTCCGCCGTCGCCGCCCTTCTTGCCTGCCGCTCAACCTTTCATCTCAACCTCCTACCTAGGTAACGCTAAAAGTCCTACCCCCGTCTTTGGTACATAAATCTCCTTAACAGACGCTTTTCCCGTGGTGTGAGCTCGTTGGTGTAATGGTAACATTCCCGGCGTGGAAATTTCCGCGTCTGCATACGTGCCGCAGGAAGACAACGGTTCGAGTCCGTTACGGGCCATACCACACTTTTTTTAATGCTGTCCTTTTTTGTCTTTTGTGGGCATCTCCTTCAGTAAGCTATAAGCACCCCAGCCTGGACCGGTCCGGACAAGGAAGGTATGTATGCTCTCACTACCCTAGCAACCCCTCGAAGAACTTTTCTTTTTGTTCCATTACTTATCTCCCTTTTCATTTGCTTTGTCGGGAGCCCATTTCGAATGCTTAGGACATTATCACCAGTAAATTGCAAGTCACCCCAATATATCATTCAAAGCCCTTGAATTCCTGACTATTTCCAGATACTCATTACACCCATCATACCAAACCCTCATCAAATTTCCAAAGTTACCACATCGTCCAGTCGAACACGATTGCAAGACAACCAACACCAGCTAACACCAAATTACCCCCCCAAATATTACATGTACAAGACATGATACACGTCCTATTGTACAAACAAGATGATCACTTAATCATCACCAAACAAACAAACCCCTTTAGAGACCAGCGGGGGTCTGGCAAAGGATGTCTTGGCCGAGCTATTATTGTTCGCTACAAGTCAGCACCATGTTACACCTTTCAACAGCACTGTCTCGAGCATGACATCAGTCAAGGTAGGCAAGGTACTCACAATAGGCAAGACGCAGCAGCGAGCGCGCTGGCCGATATCAGCACATGTAGACTCGAAGTGGGTGGCGTTGGCGACGGTTTCCGGGGCTGTAATGAGAAGGACTTGTTTTAGTATTTGGCTTGTTGAATGGTTCAATGGCAGATGGGGATGCTGGGTATGTGCTAGAAAACTCACGGTTGGCGCAGTCAAGGTCAGCGATGCCGAGGACATCGGTGGCGCAGCATTGGGCGGTGCCGTAGAGGCCGGAGCAAGGAGTGTAGGGGACTTGACGCTCCATAGCCGCGGGAGCGGCGATGGCGATGGTGAGGAGGGAGAGGACGGTGGCGATGGTGAACTGCATTTTGATGGCTGGGTTGGGTTTTGGGACTTGTGTTTTGGGTCTAGTAGGTGAAGTAGTTGGTGGCTTGGTGGTTGAGTTGTCTGTTGGAAGTTGATTGCTGAGCTGATGATGATGAGAACGAAGATGTGGAGAGGACGGAGCAGAGGTCGTCGTCCTTCTTATACATGAATCTTGAGGCTCATGCCGGGGACGAAATGTTCTCCCTCATACTTCGCTGGAGTGAACTCAAACCAACTACCAGTAGTAAACACATGGGCTTCACCGTCCCTTCCTCTGGGCCCTGATCGGCACTTCTCTGAAGACTCAAGAGGCGCACCTGCCTGCCTGGGACGGAATGAGTCCTCGAATAGGATGCCAGTTACAACGAAGGGAAGAGGGTGTTGACGTCGTCAACCTCCACTTCGGACTTAGGTTACCTTCCGTTCCTGAATCCAGCCGCACCACCACCATGACGACGACCTCATTGATGGCATCCTTCTCCAACAGCTGGTTGCCAGCGTGGTAGTCTATCCCAGCCTACCACGTGCCGGTGTCTCATATTGTCCTGTGTTCCAACTCAGCTGGGTGACAAAGCTAGAGTCCGGCGACGAGAGTTGCGATCAGACCCTGAGATTACAACATGGAGTCAATGCCGTCTATACCCTGCTTGTCTGACTTTTTGTCTTGCAATGTTCCGTCGATATGGGCGACACATATGGAGGCTATATTGCTACGTCATCAGCAATATGTTCCCAGCAATAGTGTTGAGCCGCTCAGACTCGGGAACCACAAACTGTTTTGCTCCTGTTCCAAGGCAATCTCGAAGGCCGCCGACGATCTCTAAACTCTGGAGGTTTGTTGAGGTTGAACCCTTGACATGAAGTCCCAATTGGGCATGTTGCCCCTTGCATGGAGGAGAAATAAATTGAAACCGACGTCCTGTGTCTGCAAGTTTTCTTGCTTTTTTCTCGGGGCCCGGGAGCTGGCTAACGGTTATTGGTTCCCGGCAGCTGGGGGAGCACGAATGGAGGCTCAAGGGTTTTGCAGCCATGGCAACGGCGTTGCATTGGGGCGACGTTCCAGCTCTCCAGGGCAGGATTTTTTAGCTAACCGACCCTACAGCACCGGTTTTCTGGAAAGATATGACATCGATTCTATAGCATGAGGGTGCTATAGGAGAGTCGCGCAACGGTCCTATTAGACGTCATACACTTGGCTGTATTGATGGATGTTGATGGCCCTGAGGGATTTCAGGTGCCGTTTTCTTTTTGATTGGATAGTTAATTGATAGTATTTTCCAGCTTCTCATCAATCTTGAAATGATTTCAGATTGCTGTGTATTATCGGCAAGGGATATTTGACCGTGCGCTGACTGGGCACTACGCCGGTGTGCACGCCAAGGATCGCGGTGAATGAGACCGCCGTGAAAATTCCCCGTAGGTAGGTATGGACAGTGCGGGCAGTAGTTGAATTGCATAACGGGCCGGAAATAATGAATGAGTGCGCATCGCGAGGCAAGCCATCCGGTTGATATCTGGCGCATGCAGTGGCATCCGAGCAGTCCATGAACTTGGGTTTGTTTACCCGGCACATGTTCCTGGAATTTGTTCGACTTGAAATGGGTCCGATGGTAATTTTATGAAGCAAATATTTTGAACCCAATAAACAAGGTGTTCATGCTCGTCTCAACAGTCGTGTTGACATTGGATACGCTGGACAGTGAAGGGAGGCGCATCGTTGGCAAGCGTCCGCCACGCAGTGTCCTGATTGAATCCGACGATAGGCCTGGTCATCGAGGCATCGCCAGGTTTTTTGTGCTGTTGCAATGAGAAGAAATTGAGAGGCCAAGATAAGTAGCGACATCAACAGTGCCAAGCTAATGCAGGAACATGAGACATGAGTGGGCCCGAGCGGAATAAGTGATACTGCCTTATCAGTTATGGGACAGACCTCGCCGAGCAGTTGTTAGCGGAACAGCAGTAATTTGACCTTGCTGCACCCGCCTTTCGAGACACGACGATGGACTGTCATGGCCAGAACATGTCGAAAGGGAAATAGGAAAGGAATGACTGGAGCTCCAGATGGACGTTTACCCTCGCTGTATTAGTTCTAGAACGAATGATCAGGCACCATAAAAGGAATTTCATAAACGAATTTCGTAACTAAAGTTGCTAATGGTCCGCCATCTTGAAGGACTGGATGCCCTCTGATGGGCTCTTTCTTCCGGCTTCTTAATCTGCTTGCTGACCATGTCTTTTATTCTGATGATGTCCGAGATAGCTTCAACTGAGGGCCCCCTGAGCAGACTTACTACCACCCATATACATGATCAGTTATGACTATTATCGTCGCCATTTCCTCCACTCCTAGTTGACCGTCTGTCCGTATTAGTCCTTTCCGGCCTCCCCTGGCTTTCAGACCATGCGTCCAGCCGTCTAATCCACTCTTCCCAGCACATCCCTAACACCTGTTCAGGTCCGACCAGTCCTGAGCGTATGTTCGGGTCAAATCTCTCTTCGAATGTTGTATTCTTGCTGCCCCTGCCTTCCTTTCCTTTTCTATCTGTCAACCCATCATGTTGTCAGATCGATCCTTCATGCTCCAACTATTTTTCATCAATGTCAGCTGCTCAGATTCTCTCAGTCTTGCAAGTGCATCCCTGATCTGTATGCCTTGCTGAAAAAAATCGAAAAAAATAAAAGATAAAAAAATCATCGCAGAAAATCATTGCATACATTCCCAAATCGTCATGTTCCCCAAATCAAATCTTCCCTTTGAGTTTGCGATAGGCCCCCTGAACAGACTCATTACTACATATACACATAATTAGTTCCTTCCTCCATTATTCCTATTCCCCCTATAGCCCCTTTCACCTTTGCAAATCAGATCTTTTTCTTCAGCGCCGTCTGCGAGAAGACGGTCATTCGTTAGTCTAATACAATCGTCCCAGGACATTCCAAGAATCCGATCAGGTCCCCTCAATCTTGAACGAATAGTTGGATCAAATCTTTCTTCAAAGTCTGTCGTATTTGGTGAAGGGTTGCTGGGATCATATTTGGGAAGCCTGTCCAGATCACGCTCTGTACGACGGACAGGATGAACCAAAGAGTTCACCTGGAACTCATAAGAAGAAGGATCGATTTGCACTTCCACCACTGGCTCATTAGCTGCCGGGCTCTGGCTTGCAACAGGAGTCTCTCTGGCTGAGTGGAAGCTGTCAGATCTGCTTGCCGGGGACGCTGAGGGGTTTCTAGGATCATATCTTGGCAGCCTTTCAAGATCACGTTCTGTGCGCCGAGCAGGATGAACCAGGGAGTTCACGTGAAAGGCATAACTGTCAACGTCAATCTGCCTCTCAGTAGACAGATCAGGGGCAGGACTTTGGCTCTGAGCAGGCGTCTGCCTCGCCGAGTAGAAGTGATCGGATCCACTAGTGGGAGATGATCCTTGCTGTGGGATAGGCACAGGTGTCGATGGTGTTCGCCTTTGCTGATTGGGATTTGACTGAGTAGGCGGGCCTGCTGTAAGAGGCTCAGCCTCGGGCGAGGGGTCCATCAGCCGGGGCAAGTCAGGCAGACGGTTCGCGGCGCGATCGGAGGCACCAGCATCGGTACGGACGGCGGGGCCGCGGGGGTTGCGAGGGGTGCGATCGGGGGCGCGGCTAGAGGAGGAGGACGCCATCTTGACCGTTGATAGTATAGGAGAAATGCGAGTTCGAGAATTGCCGCTGAGAGGGGGGGGGGGTTATATAGACGGAGGAGGAGGCACTTACACCGATATAAGCGATTGTAGAGACGGGGAAGTAGAGTGCAGGGTATTGGGGCGGGCGGGGGTGTAAACGGGGAAGATGGGATAGGGAGGCGGGGAGAAGGTGCCAGGTGGGAAGAAGGAGCGGCGAGGGGGAGTGGTGTTCTTATTGTTTGGTGTTGGGATGAATGCACTGGAAAGAGACGAAATGTATTTGCTGTTGCGGTAGGTGAGAACTGCTATACCAGCTAGGGGATAAGACTTTTATTATCATTATTATTCTCGAAATGGCTGGCGAAGTAGACATCTGGTCAGGGTTCCTGGATATTACAGGCGAAATCTTGCTTGAGAAAGAATAGAGGTAACAAAGAGAGACGAACTGAGGTAGTGTTAACTCTAGTGCCCAAGCGCCTAATAACAACCTCCCTCCTTGTCCGGTGCTAACACAAACGATGGAAACCACAACCCACCAGGCCATGGTCACTCCAACAGGACATCACTTGCTTCCCCTCTTTCGATCTGACAATCCTCTTCATCTACGATCAAACCATTCTCGTGACTGTGTTAGGCTTCTCTTCCAACTTTGCGAGCGTAATACAACGTTTAATTGCGAGTCGAACTGTAGCCCTTCAAAATCGAGATGTCACTCTGCTGTTAGGTAATCCACCGCTGCAAGCTGCAAGCGGGCGGCAGTAGTATGAAGCCGGCCTGGCATAAGCTCGAGGAGTTACGGCGGGGCTACCCCATGTCTCCGCATTTGTTCCTTTTATCCATTGTATTTACAGCTGTTGATTGGTTCAAAGCTGCCTGCCGGTCTCCAGCACCCCGCAAAATGATGTACACCAGGTACGTACCTTGGGCAGACACAGGTCGGCCGGGCAAAGGAAGGGACAAGCTTCCCGTCAAGTTCAACATCATGACGACAATTTGAGCTGAACCACCATGCTACTACTACCCCGACCTTGATGGAACCGCCAAGTCCGCGTACCTCTACTAGTCGTCCAGACCATCCACAGTCACTTTATCGGATCAACATCATCCAGGAACGCTCCCGTCCATGGATCGGAATGCCTCCGTTTGCCACTGCCTTGGTTCCTGACTGAACAAGGCCATCCATTGATCAATTGTTCACGCAAAGCATAATTCCCTCGCTGTTAATCCCCAGCATCACCATAGTACTCATCCGGATCAACACGTCCCTCTCCATATTCTAATACCATAATTCTATTCTCGTCCACTCCCGGCAACCGCTATCCGTGCTCCGTCCCGTGTCCCCAAAATGGCCGAGTCCCGCTACATGACCCTCTCGGACCCCTCCTCCCTCCTCAAAATATCCAACGACACGTCGCAATACCTCCAATCCGCTCTCGAAGACATTGTCGCCAGCTACCCCCCTCGCTCGCGCTACTCGCACGAGCACCTCCAAGGCTTATGGAGCGGCCCGACGGGCATTGCGCTGCTGATGCTGCAGATCTCCGCCCGGCAACCGAGCTTGCTGGTTAGCGGCCAGACTCCCTACCACTGGGCAAAGGCTTACATCTCGGGTTCGCGCGGGCACAACCTCCGCCTAGGGTCGCGCGGGTGCGGTATCCATGATGAGAAGCTTGCCTTCGAAGCTGTGCGTGCTTCCATCTTCCGAGAGGATCCTTCGCACGTCAGGACTTTTGTGTCGTGTGTGAGCCAAATTCTGGAGGTGGAGGAGTACCCGGATGAGATCCTATACGGCCGAGCAGGCACACTATATCTGCTGCGTCTGGTGCGACATTGGGTTCCTGGCAGTAACAAGCTTGTTGACCCGGCTATTGCAGAGATCACAAATACCATACTCAACAGAGGGCCTAACTGGACGTGGCATGATAAGCGATACCTCGGTGCTGTCCATGGCGATATTGGTATCCTTACTCAGGTCGTTCTGACGTCACCGGAGACTGTTCCCCAACTGGAATCGGTTCTGGACAGGTTATTAAGGTTGCAACATCCTTCTGGTAACTGGCCTAGTTCAGAGCAGCATGCACATACCGGTAAGTGCTTGGTGCAATTCTGCCATGGCGCGCCGGGTTTCGTTGTGTCGCTGCTTTCGCTGCGCCAATACTTCTCTGCGCTTCAAGAGAAGATTGATGCGGCTATTCGATTGGGTCGCCAGTGTATATGGGCGGAGGGCTTATTGAAGAAGGAGCCAAGCTTATGTCATGGTATCTTTGGGAATGCCTTGTAAGCTTTCTCTTGCCTTGTCTTTACATAATCGGACCTCTACTAACAAGTGTCTCGTCCCAGGGCACTACCAAAAGGTCCCCAACGCGAACATTTCCTTGCCGTCGCCACACCCGAGAATGTCGCCAACATGAAAAAGGCCGATCACACAGGCACCATCTTCGATCGAGCCGATTACGGGCGAGCGTACTCTACCACAACGAGCTACACACCTAGCGCAGCATGGGCATGGCTGGTGTGCGACGATGAGCATCCCAAGATGCTAGGATACAATGAAATCTAGATGTTGACCTCCTCAAATGACTACCAAATCGCACTCCGCAGGAGTGGGGAGAGATGCAGGAAATTCGGACAAGGATCACGATACGTAACGACGAAACGAAGATCAGCTTTTATGAAAGAACTTGGGATTAGATTACTACAATTGACGAAGAATTACTCTTTTCAAACAGACTCCCACTCCACAGCCTATTTAGGCAACCCAACGCTTAACACCACGAGGACCCTTTCCATTATGTCCTTGGGTCTTGTTGGTCAAAGCCTCCACGACACCCTCGTAAGCAGGGTGTCTGCTGAAGTCACCGAACCAGAGAAGGGCGGCACCCTCACCGGGAAAGACGGCAGGGACCCAGCTAAAGGGGTCGTAGAAGTCCCAGATGGTGACACCGATACATCCGTCGACTTGGACACAAGCTCCGACGGCCTAGTAAATTAACCTTGTTAGCAGATGATCAACCCCGCGTGACAAACTTGAAAAAGTGTACTACTCACATTCTTATACGCCTCCTTCTGCTGCGCTAAATTCGTTGCATTCGCCGGCATCTCCAACCTCACATCCAACTCCGTCAACGCCACCTCCACGCCCAACTCCGCGAACCCCTTAATAGCAGCGACATGCTCATCCAGCGTCGGCCTGCTCTCCGCCGTCAAATGCGCCTGGAGCCCCACCCCATCAATCTTAATTTTCTTGTTCTGCAACTGCCTCACCAGCTTCCTGACCGCCTCCGTCTTGGCGCTCGGGCTCTCCAAGTTATAATCATTATAGTACAATTTTGCTTGGGGATCCAGTTTGGAAGCCGTCTCGAAAGCCAGCTGGATAAACTCGTCGCCGCCCAAGACGGTGGAAAACACCGATTCGCGATAGGTCCCGTCCTCGTTGAAGGCTTCGTTGACTACGTCCCAGGCGTAGCATTGGCCTTTGTAGTGGGTCATGACGTTGGTGATGTGCGAGACGATGATGGAGCGGAGCTCGTCTTTGGTCCAGTTGGCGGAGGAGGAGTCGACCCAGGGAGCAAGCTGCGAGTGCCAGACTAGGGCGTGGCACCGTAAGAGCTTGTGGTGCTGGTGCGCGAGGGAGGCGACGATATCGCCTTCGGTGAAGTTGAAGGTGCCTTGGGTGGGTTCGGTGAAGAGCCACTTTTGTTTGGTCTTCTGTTAGTGTACTTTACTTTACTAGGTACAAAGGAGTGGGAGAAGGGAAAGGGAAGGGGAAAAGGGGGAAGGGGAAAAGGGGGGAAAAGGAAAAGGGAAAAGGAAAAGGGGAAATGGGGAAGGAAAAAGGGAAAAAATACAAACCTTTTGCCCATTAGTAGGCGTCGTCTGCCCGAACTCTCCAGACTTCCACATGATCTCGTCATACTTGGGGTAGGCAGACTCAAGACCTGCACGCTCGCGCTGGCCGGGCGAGTCGGTGGCTGCGCCGAAGTATTTGAGGCCGGCCTTTTTGGCGTACCAGTCTAGACCCTTGTGGGAGCAAGACTTTCCGGAACCTTTGCCGTTGCTAGCAGAAGCCAGAGGCACGGAGGCCAGGGCGAGGAGGGAGAGGAGGGACTTGGTGTGCATGGTCGTGACTGGCTGTGGTTGAGTTGACCGTGAGGAGAGAGGTGACTACAAGGAGGGAGGGGGGGAACTCGACGGGAGAGACGAGGTGAGGAGAGAAAAGAAGCTAACGGGGAGGGAACAAGGCGTTATAAAACATCATGATGTGGAGGTAAAGATGGAGGTGGAAGTGGAGGTGGAGTCAACTATCGAGACCGATCACGAAGTCATGAACCATGGCGGGCGAAGCCCACAGACTCCATCATCTCCCCATGGGGTAAAATGGGGTAGTGTAGTATGGAGTCGTTAGCTTCATATTACCATGCGTGACTACGCAGTACATGGAATGGGTGACATGGGTCTGAATGGGGTCGTGACCCGTCACCCCAGATCTACCGACGTATCCTTGCGAAATCGCTAGTGACAAGCGCATTCTTGGAAGAACCTTTTGCGGCCTCTGTTATGAGTGAATTTGTTGGGGTCAATGGAATCTCCTAGACAGGGGTAACGTCGAGGGTGGTTCGGGAGGGTTAACCGGGTTTGTGGAGCGAGAAGCCGTCGTGACGAGGAGGAGTCCAAGGTGCACACTACCGTCGGTATGTTTTTGCGGTTCGTGATGCTGTGGCTGAGCCAAGCTCCTGGTCTGTGGTGTTCTTGCGCGTGAAGACTGAAGAAACGCAAGCTGAAAACATGTAAATGCAACGAAGCAATCTATTCAGCCGGACGAACTGCGACTAGGCCGTAAGACTGGCGATGAAGCCAGCCACATTGGCGAAGACGAGTCGCGGACAATATTTCCATCTCGCCTCTTTCCTCGGTTCGCTTGCATTTTGTTCTCCTCACCTGTCCGCTCACAAGTTTCGCCGTGATCTCGAGTTCATAATCGGGACAAGCCACAACCAACCGGAATTGACCACTCGGCAGCGAGTTTGCTTCTAGCGTTCAAGATCGAGAGCTTCGACAGCTAAGACGGTTAAAATCCCCCCCAAATTTGCCGGAATAATAGCCTGCGGTTGTGCATGTAACCCTCTTGGCGTGACGATTGACCAATTGGTTGATGTTGCGGGGGAATAAGTGGCAGGGAGGTGCACATAATAGCCGGACTTGGAATATAATCTGGGCGTGCTATTCAGCAGCTTGGAAATACCTAGGCTGATGGGGGAGACTAGTTGGGGATGAAGAGGAGGACGAGCAGGTTCATGTTGATGATGCACTCTTTCCGCTTCTCGAAGACTGTAATATACCAAACATGAACCTCTGGGCCTGGGTGAACGCCGCGGCCTCGGCGTCCAGTTGCTCCCAAGTAGCTGCTTTACCAACCAGCACCTTCTTCAGCGACGTATGCTACAACAGCAGTCCAGTTGCTTGTTGCCATCAAGTCTAAATCTACCAGCAGTTTTCGAAGATTTCGCTCAAAAATGACCGTTCTAGTCTGTTTAAAGCCAGACGTGACAAGCAGAAGTCGGAAGGCAATGAAAGAACGACGCTGGGTACCCGGGCGAGTGATACTGGATAGTGATGATCGGTCGAGGAATGATACGGCTCTGGCGATGGGTTGGGTGGAGGAAAAATACAACGATAAATGCTTCGTTGGTTGAACAATGTGAAGTGAGGTTTGATGGGCCAACTGGCTGGCCAAGTGGTGGTCCTGGAAAACTGCAATCATCTCTTACTTCCCTAGGTTCACTTTCCTGTGCTTCTCGTTTTTTCTTCTTCTCATCCTCCTCCTTCACCTCTCACTTACTGAGTTGCTCGTTCTATCTCTTGCCGTCCTTTGACTGCTTCCAGGGGCGTGAATAGGTCATCAGCTACGTGCTTACGCTGACTCTTTCTGTTGTTTGATGATTTCTCCATGTTCTTCCTCTTCCTTACCATTTCTATGGCCCTTCTCAAACAACAACACCAGTCTGATGATAGCCACTGCGGTGAACAAACTTACATGACAGAATAGATAGATACAATGAGACTCATCGCCGTCATATGACACAACGACTGAGGAAGTGAGTGGCCTATTTCAAGCTCAGAGCCACATATCAAAAGCCTTCCCTTCGTCTTCTTTATCAAAATCACCCGCTCTCTTGTGTAACCTTAAACGGTCAATTCTACACACTACACCACCCAAAACAGTAAATCATGTACTGGTCAACCTCCCCCTGCAGAACTAGTCCCGACACCACCGAAAGGGACCACAGAACATGTACATGTTCGCAACAACTACTCAAGGCCGCCTTCGAAGCAGCCACAATAGCCAGCCACGAATGCCGCAACCGTCTTTTCCACGCAATCTACTGCGACCTTGAGGTCCATTCAAAAACAAAAGGCAGCAAGCCACTCCACTCCTTCTGCATCCCCAACAACTTTATAGATATCATCGGCCCAGCGCTCGACCCGCAAATCCAACATATTCTGTGTCTGCACAACTTGCAAAGGAAATACAAGTATGTTTCCAAGCTTCGCAAGATCTTTTTAATCGCTATGCTTGCTTCGGTGGATTACATTGACTTTCTTGGGGACATGGTCAAAGTTGTTGACAATAACCAGGGGCAGTTATCCGATGACAAGCTCCCTATCGAAGGCAGCCAGGTGAGGGGCTTGAATGAGAAGTACGCGGCGAACTTTCGGGAGTTTTTTTGGTATCAGTACCTTTTTCTTGATGGATACTGCGGGGGTTCGTGTCGCTTTAAGCGGGAGGAGTTGGAAAAGACAACGCCGGAGGGAAGTGGTCGGAAATCGGATGTTCCGATCCTTTTGAACAAGAAAGATCTTGATAGACAGAAAAAGGTGGTCAGGTCGGCGGCTTTGAGTTTGGCGTTGATGTCGCGTTCTGATTGTCAACACTGCACGAAGAAGGTAGGCTTTTCTCGGTCTTGTTCGTCAGGGAGGACATTGAAGGTTTGAACTAACTCAACTGAGTGAGCTTGCAGAATTAGGTGGCAGGCATTCAAGGCTCAGCGACAAGTAAAATCTGCTAGCGATGAATGCAAGATTATGTCTTCCGTAGTGGCCGGCTTGTCAGATACCCCCGTGATGAAGATATCGACAGGTCTCTATTGTCGTGGGCAGGTGAAGATCCAGACTTCGTGGATAGAAGGGCAATCCCAATCACAACCCAAGCCCTTCCAGCTAGGATGACAACCTGCCACTACCAACTCCTTCACCGTGGGTAGCTCGTTGTTGTAATGGTAACATTCCCGGCGTGGAAATTCCGCGTCTGCATGTGTGCCACGGGAAGACAATGATTCGAGTCCGTTACGGGACACTCACGTTTTGAAGGAGAATCTATCCGCCCACACCCATCGTGCGGGAGATGAATTGATTCGAAAATGGCTCGTAGGTACATGAAGAAAAGACTCTGAATTTGGCAAACACAAAGGAGAACGCAATTTATGCGTTCTTCTTTCTAGGTAGCCGGTCCTCAGAAACACGGGAATAGTGGCACGGTCCTAGGTACCATGATCTCCCCTTCTCTCCCTCTCTCTTCAACCTCCAATCTTCCAAGCAGCCCCCCTCCCCCCTTCTTTCTCGAAGACATCTACTTAAAGAAAGAAGGCAAAGCCAAAAGAAAAAAGAAAGAAAAAAGCACAATCAAGCACGCATCAAAAACAACTCACCAACCACCCATCATGACCAACACCCAATCAACCTCGTTTCCAAACGTAACACATCAAACGCCCAAACCCACAATCGGGCTACATCAAACCACATAATCCACGCTCTCTCCCCTTCTCGCCCACTTTCTTTGTACGCGTACGCGTACACACCCAATTCATTTCCCCTCACCTCTGAGTCCTCTCCGCCCATAACATCATCACCTACGCCGCAGTCAACGGCGATCGTTTCGGGCGGTGGTCTCGGCGAAGGAGATTTCAGGCACACATGGCGGCGAGTGGACAGGCGCTTGGGAAGGAAGGGGGCGCAGTGTCAAGTTAAATGTACCCATGAGCGACGGAGATGGAGGGCACTGTGGTGTGGCTTATATCGAGGCGGTGGATGAGGCTTGGAAGCGATGCTACGTTGAACGTTCGTGGTGTTGAGCAGTTGGAAAGGGACCAATGGTAGGTATTGAGAGCACGTGAGAGGCACTTTCTGCGGACAACAGAAATAGGCACCCAACCCCCCGGAAATTGTGGTGAGATTGTCATTTCCCTGATCCTGAATGCGGTGTTTACCTCACATTTCCTCAAAGCTCACGAACATGAAGCGAAAATACGCCGATTTTCTGGGGTGTTCTACGTCTACCACGAGTCCTGCAGCGGGACACAAGCCGAACGCCAATCCATCAGGATCTGCAGCCTCTACTACGAGGCTCTGCGTGAAATGCCTCAACTACAATTTCAGCCCGAAAAAGCTTGATCCTGATCAGCTACCTCCCCTAGGAGAGCGTGGATATGAGAAGCCAGCAGTGTTCGACACATATGATAAGCTTCTTGTGTCGTCCGCAACTTGTCCCCTGCATAAACTTGTCTTGGAAGGACTTGAACGCACTTTGGCTCGAGGTACCCAGCAGAGCTTATCGAAATATGGGGTGGGAAAGAACAGCAAGGTCTTCGCCTTCATGTTGACGATGCAGTCGGAAGGGGAAGCCACCATTGGCTTTTTCATTATACCACCTGAAGAAGAGAGGCTTCGGCATCGTATTTTGCAGGCCCCGAGAATTGCGGAGTCATATTTGCGAGTCTATGCAGACAAGTCCCTAGCGCACGGTACCGCATCCTCAGGTCGCTGGGCTCGCAATCCACCACTCACACCCTGGAGTGAGCCATGGTTAGATTGGCTAAAGGGATGGCTCAACGCCTGTCTTGGGAAGCATGGACCGGAATGTTGCACGACGCTCTCCGGCGAGAGGATAGATGAGTTGTTACCTCCAGTTCTTCCCACTCGAATTATCGACGTAGGCCCACGGGAGGGCTCTGGAAGTGCCCGTCTTGTGGAATCCCAAGGGGAACGTGGGCATTACACTGCTCTCAGTTACTGCTGGGGAAGCTCTCGAAAATCCGACCGACCGTATCTCACCACAACAGAGACACTGGAGAAGCATCTCTCGGAGCTTCCGTGGGACCTGCTTCCGAAGACCCTTCGGGATGCCATTCTCTTAACCCGGGCAGTTGGGATGCGGTATCTTTGGATAGACTCGCTGTGCATTATCCAGGATTCTAACGACGACTGGGAGAAAGAAGCAGCAAGAATGGGTACCTTGTATGCGCAGGCGCGGCTTGTTATTGCCGCAACGATAGGCACAGATGCCCAGGCTGGTCTGTTTCCTTTCCAGACGTACATTCATCATCCAAGCCGGAGGAGTATTCCAAGTTGGAGGAGGTCTCCATCTCTGTATTTCCGCAACTTGCCGAATGAAAGAGGATCGCCGCAGCTCAATCTTCCTCTCTTTACCAGAGGGTGGGCAACCCAAGAATGGGTGCTCGCAAGACGAATTGTGTTTTGGACGCAGGAACGAATGTGCTGGTACTGCGCGAATGAATGTGTCGGGGATGATGGCAACAGCGTGTCCACTTACTCTGGCTTATTCCAACGATATACCACTTGGAAGGAAATCGCGACACTCTACTCCGGTAGAGATCTCACATACCCGACGGATAAGCTCATTGCTTTAAGCGGCATCGCCAACGAAATACAGAAGCAGAGGCCGAAAGACAAGTATGTGTTTGGATCGTGGCAGTCCAATCTTCCCCACGAACTCGTGTGGTCAGGTCAGGCGGGCACACCAACAGCTTCTGGACGGGAGGAATTGCACATTCCTTCATGGTCGTGGGTTGCCCATCATGGTGCTGTGCCATTTCTGGATCAGTTCCAACAATCCGCCCAGTCATCCATTTCAATCCTGGGGGAATTTTCCCTTCAGATAGTGGCCCGATTCAAGAGAGTGGACATTTACGAACCCGGGATGAAAGATTGGTGTTTGAATTGGGTACGGCTGGACAATGGAACATACTCCCTTGATTACCCAGGCTACGGAGTACCTGCGTGGGATATATTAAGTATTTGCTCGAAAGAAGTAGGCTCTGGTTCGGTGCAAGTTGCCAGGCATGACAAAAGAATATGGGCTGTGTTTGATACCCCAGACTTTCTCGGTACTTACCAAAAGGAGGGAGTTGGTGTAGGGACGTCTGCGGGCTCACCTGATGAGTTTTCATTGGTGGAGATTGTCTTTAACGAAGCGCGGCTCTATGGCGTTGTGGGATTGTTGTTGCGTAAAAGCCCCCATACCGCCGGCAGATATCTCAAGAGTTGGACTGGGGTTTGCTTATAATGATTGGTATGAAGACGCGGAAGTAGGCGAGTTCATCGTTGATTGATGGCGCGAATGAAGGATGACAGCGAGGCATGGTTCATGAAGAGCGAAGGGCAAGATGGTTGTGGGATGAAGGTGTCGAGAGAGAGGATTCTGCAGCTTGCACCAATTCTGGAATCTCCACGTGAATTGACCAGCTCATCCTTCTAGTCTCCTCGTGAAAAGTTAACCATGACGCAACTTCCGACTCCAGCAGAAGGCGTAACACCGACAATGGAAGGTACTTCCAGGAGGCAGGCCACTCTTGGAGCGGGGGCGATCAAAACGAGAAGCTGCTTCTGATCTCAACCGTGAAGCTTTGGGATTCGGCATTGGATCATGACGACCCATAAAGTACTCTGACAACGCAGACAAATGAAAGAGATCCATGCTATGGCTAGAAAAAATGAAAATCTCGTGACGACCTTGAATAAAACACAATGGGTACTATCTCTGCCCCTACAAACTCCAAGCACTCCCAGAGGCACCTCCCCGGGCCCCTTCCCCTCCCCTCCTCACTCACTCGACCGACGACTCCCCAACAACCTCCACATAACTCCTACACATCTTCAAAAACCTCTGCCGATACTCCTCCGGCGTAGTCGTGATACTCATCGGCCCCTGTTTACTAATCAACAAATTCCACAACTTGATCAAAACCGTCATCACCATCGGCTGCAACTTATGTTTTGCCCAAAAGAAATCCAAGATCGACGCTCGGTAGATATACTTTCCATCCGCCGACGCGATCCCGGTCCTCCATGACGGCGGACCAGGCGGCACCGATGGGCCTTCGGTCGGCGGCGCCACCTCTTCCAATACCACCTCTGATACCGCTTCTGGTGAAGAAGCAGCTGCAGCATCAGGTTCCTGCCCTGGGCCGGAGCCCGAGGGAGTAGAAGTAGTAGTATGCATCCTCACCAAAAACAACGAATAATCCACCGCCCCATGCTCCGCCAACAACCTCGTATCCTCCTCCAAACACCTAAAAAACTCATCCGCCTGTTCTTTATCCAGTCTAATCTTATCATGGAACTCATCCGCCAACTGGCTCTTCGTAGCCTCGCTAGTCAGCGCTCCATCAGCAATGTCGCGCTCAGGATAAAAGTACGAAGTGGGCTTCAGATCCCAATCCTCCCAGTCCACGTTGTTGTTGTCGCCGCCGCCGCGCTTCTTTGCTTCGGACCGGCCGCGGCCGTACATGATATTCTCCATGACGATATGGTGCGAGGGCGCAAGCCGCAAGATGCGGCCGAGCGAGTATCCCGAGGCGCCGAGAAAGTCGCAGATGCGCACGAGCAGCGAGCGCGGGTGCGTGGCCATGTATTCGACGTAGGGCGTCAAGAGGTCTTGGCGGAAGAAGGAGTGTTCCGAGTGGCGCGGGACGGACTTGACGAGATACTTTTGGTCTTTGGTTGAGTAGAAGGTCTGTCGTGTGTTAGTCGACGGATCTAATGGCATGGGTAATCAAGAATAAGACTAACCGAGCCGGAAAAGCCCATGTCTCCAATAGAACTCAGAGACTCTTCGGGTTTGTCGCCATCTTGTGGTGGCTGGAAGGATTCGTGGTAGTCATTGTCTTCAACGTCCCAATGGTTTCGACGCAAGTTAGCGAAATCGGCTGGTCGGATCTTTTGTAAGATCAACTGGTGGATAGAGAAGAACAGAGAGAACAGCGACAGGATCAGGCGAAGGGGATTTCTGTTGGTGGATCGTCGTTTCGCGAGTCCAGTGGTGTCGGTGATGGCCCGCGCGATCGAGCGTGCGATTGCTTTTGAACGTCCCATGATGCTTCTGTTCAGGTGGTATATACTGTGTAAGGCAAGTATGGATTTGGACGGAAGAACTGAAGCTTGGGTAAGGTAGATGGGAGGTCCAAAGTCGAGGCCCACCCGATGTCTTGAGATCTCCAGAGATCAGCTGAAAACAGTGCCTGGCCGTGCTTGCTGATCAGGAACGCCCAACGGCCTGGAACAGCATCGCTCTATCACTGACGTCATTGTGTTTACTTTGTACCCCGGATCTTATCACGCGTACCCCTAACCCTTATCGGCCACAGCCGTCTGCTGTCCGTCCCAAAGGATCACGACGAGCACATGCCTGCACATTATGCTTTGTTCAGGAGGCATGTCTTGGGGTAGGTGATGAGGGGTCAAAGTATACAAGCACCGGGGCACCTATGTTGCTTACATAAGGAAGTACAAGGCATTAACGATCCCGGAGTTGAAAGAATTCACGACAGCTGAGCTAGGAATCGAGCCTTCCTCCAAGCCTCACAGAGCTTGGGAAACTCACCTCCATCATCAGCAACCATTCCACATGCGAGGGAGATCACAGCAGAAATCCCAGTCATGGTTGCAACTGAATTACCATATGTACTTCCTCCCATCAACACCTTGACCAGAAGGGGAAGAGATCTCCTAAAACTCGCTATTCACACGCCCGGACTCCACGCCAATTTACCTACCACCAGGCCTCTTCGGCCTAGCGAACCCCCTACTCTGCACCGCCTTGGGATGCAACTCCCCCAACACCCCGTCCTCCGTGATCTCGCTCGGCTCCTCCACCTCAAACTTCTTGTCGACATTCAGTCCCTCCCTGCTCGCCACCTCGAGCACGGCCCGCTTCATCAGCGGGTACAGCATGCGCTGCTTGATAGCCACGCGCCCGCCGTTAGAGCTAGGGTTGGTGTAGAAGAAGAGAATGGGCGACTCCTCGGAGCCGTTGTGCGTGTGCGTGTACCGGAAGAACGTGAAGCGCGGCTCGGAGGGGGAGATGGCTTGGACGAGGTCGGCGATGGACGATGGGTTGGAAGAAGAAGAAGAAGAAGGGACGAGCTCGATGGTTTCGGTTGTGGGGTTGACTTTCTGTTGCGGATTATTAGTTACTATTCGAGCAGAGGAAGAAGAAGGGGAAGAACTTACAAGCATCACCAACCCCTCCCCACCCTCTTCAGCTAATCCCTTAAGAGCAGCCAACGCATCCTCCCCCATCGGCATCGCCATGTGCGTCCCCAGATGAATCTCCCGCTTACTCGTCCCCGCGCCCGCCTCCTGCTCCGCCCGCTTGACCTCCCCCAGACTCTTCTCCTCCTCCGTCAGCGGCGCGTCCAGCGCCGTATGCGCATCGTGCTTCTCGAAGCCCTGGCTGGTCAGCTCCTTGGCGTTGGTCGCGAAAATGGTCTCCCGGAAGTGTTCCGACCCGAGCTCGCGCACGAGCGTCAGCCGCGTCGAGGCGAACAGCATCTTTTGCCGCACGGGAGCCGTGTCGGGCACGTAGGTGACGGCCACCAGCGCAGGCGACGAGTCATAGCGGCGCAGGATGATGTAGAGAGCTTCTTTTTCTTTGATGTGGGGCGTCAGAAGGGTGTCGACGTTGGAGGCGAAAGAGGAGCCCGGGGAGGAGGTCAGAGTTTGGATGGGCTGGAGCTGTTCGTTGGCGATGTTGATGAGGAGGCCAAAGGTCGATGGGGAGCCGAGGAGGTCGTTGAATTGGGAGACCAGCTCCTTGGAGGCTGTGAGTGAAATGGATAGTAGGTTAGTGAGTGTGGTCTGATTTCCAACTTGCTGGGAGTTGGGCTGTGGTGTAGCTCTCTCTCCTCTCGCAACTTTCAAAAAGGAGGGGGGGGGGAGCTGGAGGTTTGCGACGATGGGGAAAGTGGGCGGCAACAGAACTTACCGGAAATTCCTGACTGCATCTTGTCTTGTGTTTCTCCTTGTCCCTACTGCAGTCAGTCGAGATATGGATAACAGGTGTCTTAGGTTAGAAGATGTTGATGTTTGGTACAAGTTGGGCTGGCTGCGATGACATGCGGTCAACCAAGAACCGGCGACGGGGCTCCCCGTAGCTACAGTATGGTGGGGTCCAGGCGGGTCCCCTCTCGTGCCAGCAAGGTCCATGGAGTGGGCCCCCAGGCAGATGTACCTGAGTTTACCCCTGGTCTTCACCACGGCAACGCCTTTTCTTTACTCCATCTTCACATTCAATTGTCACTTTTTATAGCTATCCAGGTTTAAAGCAGGGAGTTCAAGATCTCGAGGGTGTATCACAAGGCAAATAAATGCGCGGATTGAAGCGTGACCAGTACATTCGCGAGTTATAGTGGTCTTACAGTCAAAAATGCCGGGAGAAGAAAAGCTAGGACCTTAACAGTTGTTCACGCAATTTACACCCAAGGTAAATAGTGCATTATCTCAGTGCACATGGACAGTGCCTGGGTGAAATCCGCTTCAAGTATTGGGATCTCTCATGAACAAAGTTCATAATCACACGAGCAGCCGGAGATACGCGCATTGTTCACTCGCGAAGCGTTTGCAAGGAAGAATTTGGCTGTTGTGCTCAGAATCAATCGCCTTCTTTCCAACCAGTGTACTACACCAAAAACGTTCAGGGTATCAAACAAGAAAATAGTACCTAAGAAGTAGTACATCCAACTTCCACAACTTCCACGACTTCCAACATTAAGCAAAACCAGTCCCCCACCTTTCCACCCCAAATGGCATCGCACCCTCTAGTGCCGCAAGATCCTTAAAATCGTGCTCCAAATCCTCTACTCCCTCGTCATATCCATCGTTATCATCATCATTCCTGTTATTATTGCCGTCGTTGTTGCCGTCGTTGTTGGTTCCTGGCCTCTCTCTCTGTCTGTAAAGACCAGCAGCAGCCACCGCTTGAGCCTGTTTCAGCTCGCTATAAGCAGGCAAATACTCTTCTTCCACTTGCTTTTGTGACCGTCGAACGCTTGACTGCCGTCCGGGTTCATTTTCATTCACAGGGTAATCATCATACCCCGGCGGCCCAATACCAGCAAAGGCACTCCCTCTGGAAAAAGTCCTACCCAGGCCCGCCGACCCGAAATCCTGCTGCCCGATATATGTGCGTGCGCTTGCCGCGCTTGTTTGTCTGCTTATGCTCTGCCCACCGCCACCTCCATACCCTCCACCAACTGTCCGCGTACTGGACTTGCTCGCCTGTCTGCTCACTCCCGGGGTCCTGTCTTCATAAGACTGATAAATGATTGCGCCTGTGGGGCCGGGCAACCTGATCTCCTCCGCTTCCAGAACCTCAGCAATATCTCTGACCAAAACCTCCATGGGACAAATGTAGGCAACCCTCTTCCTGCTACTCCATGCCAGGATGTGACCGCAGACACTGCCCCCGTCTCTTTCTACCACCCAGGCTCCGGAGTCGCCGGGGATACCCATGGGCAGGGGCTGGCGACGGGAGTTGATCGTTTGGTCACCAGATCCGGAGGGACGGTTGGGACGGTTAGGTACGAGACCGAGAGAAGGAGTACCCGAAATTTGGTAAGTGTGACTGGGAGATGCTCGACCGAGTATTTTCACCGACGTGAGGGTGGGGAGGATGGTGCCTGTTTGCAGGCCAGAGGTGCGGGCCATGCATTGCACTTGGAGACCGGGAAGGGTATGGGAGGGGGCGATGGAGGTTGGGAGGATTGTTGGGATTTGGTCGGGGGGAATGCTGGACAGACGGGTGTGTTTGTTAGAAGCTTTGGGAATAAAGTTATCAGATGGTTGGCGATCGTCTTCGAATTCGAAGAGGGCCCAGTCGATTTCGTGCACGAGCCCGTTTTCTTTCCGCCGCCGAATACCACTGGAGGCGTACATCTCCCCGACCCGGAAGGTGTCGAGGTGGTCTTGGTCTTTGTCCTCAGCGGAGGGGTAGAAGTCAGAGGCAACGTCATCTAGAGCCGGCTGCGTGATGATGAAGCCTTCGCCGCAGCCGGGCTCAATGCCGGGGATGTCACCTGGTTCGGTGAACTGCTCCTCTTCTTCATAGTAGTCGCCATCGTCAGAAGCTTCGCTGGTTATGGCGGATTCGGAATAGGCTTCGGAATCGGTGTCAGAGAATTCACAGGCATAGTCATCGTTTTCGCTGCTTTCGGGGGAGGATTCGTCGGTGTTTGAGTACTGTTGAGCATACCATGCGGCCAAATCGTTTAGACCCCCACCTGCCATACTCCTTGTATTATCATCGGCGGCTTGATCGGAATCTGGGTCATCCAACATGTGATGCACCGTCATCCCGTAGGGCTTATCGTCCACCACGATGAGTCCTCCCAAACTGACAGGCGGCAAGTGTCGATCGCCAATCCATGCTCCAATACTCGCCCCATTCTGTGGCGTTGGCTGGTATGACGGGTTGGCGGCTATGACATCTCCAGTATCGTCCGAGTTGGCCATGCTACGGTTAATAACCTGCTTCCGCGATCGGAGAACCTGACCTTTGCACACCTTGAGTCCGAGATTCGACCTTGTTCCATCGAACAGAACGCCCAGCTTCTTCTTCAAAATGGCCCTGACCTTGTTTACCGAAGTGCAGACGACCAGAATGGTAGGTTTGGTACGCTGTGGCGATTCGCCGATCGATTCGAGGGAGATCTCAACGGACTCGGGGTTCTTTCGGTAGAAGGCTTTGAGAGCCGAGTTGATCTCGGGCATGAGAACAGAGTTCCACTGTTCGACGACATCGGGTGGCAGCGGTACATGTGGGTAAAGGCGTGCCTTTTCCTTGATGGAAGAGTCATTTGCTTGCCGAGCTAAGCACGTGTAAGAGGTTAGATATGTCAGATATCGGACGAAACGCGGCTTCTTACCTTGAATCTTGGCCCGCACTTCCAGTTCAGGGTGCACTGGTACCACAGTAATGGAAGGATCTGATTCCTCACTCTTGCGGGCTTTGGGAGTTGGCTTTTCGATAGAAGTCTTTTCAGACTTTGTCTCCTTGGATGAGCCAGAACCAGAAGCAACTGGCTCTGAAGGAATCTGCAAAGCTGGCGGTGCAGGAGAGAGGTCATCTCCAAGTCTCTCCTCCAAATTGCTCACTCCGTCCAAAATGCAGCATGCTTCGAGATACCGACTAGCCTTGAACTCAACATGGCGAGCAATCTCGTCCACAGTATGTTGGCCACCAATCTCCTGGTCAACTGCCTTCAGGCAGGTCTGAACTGCCTTCATGTAAAGCGTACCGCATCGAATAGCGAGCTGGTCAAGGATGGCGTCGGAAACAACTGGATTCTGGACATCCGGGAGTATACTCTCCAGCTTGTTCCAAAGACCGACCGAGATAAGAATCATGGCCAAAGAGTAAAGATCCAATGTCTTGGAATCCGCATTGTTGGAGAGAGGACTTTGGGTACTGTTCTTTGGGTCTAACGGATGCCTATAAGGCGTGAAGGGTTCAGGTTCGTCTTGTGATTGTGGATCTGAGAACAAGTCAAATGATGAGACCAAAGGTCGTCTGATGTCGACCTCGCCTCGACTCATTCCGCTGATCTCTGGGTCGGTGCTGACTGCATTGCAGAAGGAGATATTATCAATAAGCAGGTTGCCATGAGTGATACCCCTGGCGTGCATGTCAAAGACGGTGTTGGCCAGGTTGGCAGCCAGACGGAACTTTGCCTCAAGCTTCGGTTCAAAGTCGGGACGAGCAAGCAGATCTCCCAACGAGCACATGGAGTACAATGGATTCTGGGTAAGGTTCTCGTAGGTCACCGGATTGAAGGTTCGAGGGAATCTGTAAACGAGACCGAACCTTGAGTTCTCCATGTCCTCAAAATAGGCCAATAGGCGAGGAAGACCAGTCCAAGAACTGGATGAACGTTGGGGATCGGCTTGAAGACCGGACGACAAACGTTCAAACTTGGCCATCGGTGGTGTTATCCCCGTGATCGAGTAGAGGCTGTCAAAGGGCGCATATTCCAAAAGGAGAGGTCCGTAGGGTATTTGAGCGCCCATCCGTTGCATCAACTCGGCATAGGCCTGCTTGCCCATAAAGACAATCTCCCTTGTCCCCGGCTCCTGGCTTCCAGCCTCGGTCATAGGCACGGCCTGCATGTCGCGTAGGTTCATGAGAGTGCTAGGATCGATTTGTTGTGGTGTCTGGATCCTGGTAGACTCGAATGGGCGATAGTCTTCGGTAGGGGAGGAAACAGCCCTCTGAAGTCTCTCACGGGCGGCAGATGAATGCTGGGCATAGGAAGATCTAGTCCGGGACAGGTCGTAGAGGGTATCAATGGACGTTGTCAGATCGCGGATAAGGTCCTCGAAGCGGTTCTTGTCCCACACCACCATCCTGATCTTCTCTCCCCGCTTTGGTGGTTGATAGGGCTCATTGCTCTCGCCGGTCAACTGCTTGGAGCTATTCCATAGTGGCTCAGCCTCAGCTAGGATGTCCTTGATGGTGGACATGATACTCCCAACGACTTCGCTGAGGCCGGCCTTGGACAGGGACGAGTCAATGTAGACTTCGGCGGAGTGAGTAGGATCGGACCATTCCAGCCCCCAGCTGACAAGACGGTCCTTTTGGATCTTGAGCTTGCGGTGGAGAGACTTGATCTCGGGATCGGCCTCGGCATGTTGGACGGGCTCTTTAACGAAGTCTGAGGACTTTTTCGTATCGTTATAAAGCCTGCTGAGTCTCCTGTTGAGGGACGGCCCCAGCTGGAAGCCGCCCATGGGGATACCGGATGCCATGATTACGGTTTAAATCGGGTCTGTGTTGTGAGAACTGGACAGTACTGTGATAGATGCTGCGTCGATGAGCAGCTGGAAAGCTGAATTATTTTCGAATAATATCGCGGGCTAATACATGGCGTTGAGGTCTCTGATAGTCCAGTCGAGAAGTGAAGAAGCTGATGATCGAAAAGTGAAGAGATATCCGAAAGGGATCAAATTGAATTGAAGTAACGTAACACAAGAGGCGACAAGTGGAGGCCAAGACAACGCGGCTCGATTTGTCGATTGTAACCCGAGACCACTCAGCTGAATGATATGCAAAAGGTGGTAGTCAATGTGAAAGTGAGTGTGGCACCCGATATATGGAAATAAACAACAGAAGATATGATGGGAAGGGTCAAGTCATGATTTGTGGCTGGGGGGTGGTGGGTGGGTGAGAAAAGAGCCGCAACTTTTTGGGAATTCGTGAGCAGATCCGCGGACTTCGCCCGTTCCTCTCTGACCTCCCGTCTATGAGAGCAAAGAACCCTCCCGCTGCGGTCATCACGACCTACGGAACAGCAGGGCTTTGCACCTTCTCAAGAATGTCGGTGCCTGGCTCATTTCTTCTTTCCTACCTGGGAAATAATGTTGTGTCTAGACGGCCGCTCCATTTCTTTGAGGGAAAGAGGGTCGGTGCCATGGGGCTCGTGGCTTCCGAACCGCGTGTCTGGCCATTGGTCCCGCGGTGGGGTTCCCGAATCCTGCTGCCTGCTGTCGAGACGTGAATTACAGCGGGGGTCCGAGCACGGTCTGTCATTGGTCAGAGGCGGTCTTGATCTGCAGTTTCACACCCTGACAGTCCTTTTCAGTTGCCAAGATCACAACTGCCAACTGCCAAAGACCTCTTGTCTCGACTCTTCCCTCGACTTTCCTTATGTTCACCACTCTCCCCAGTGTAGGCTTCAGCCAACCGGAGATTACCTCGACACCAAGTCCCGATCAGTTCTAAAATCCCGCTAGCTATTTACATGTTCCATATTGCGTGCTGTTTCTCCCTTCTCGCCACCACCTGAACCCGGCATGCCCTGGTCTCCCTAGACTCTTCACCACGATGGCCCTTGTGGAAGAACTCATCCATCTCCTCTAGCTTCTAGGCCGCCTTCGAAGTACCTGATCATCCCGGATTTAAGCCTCAATCGCCCTGTTTAGCCTCTAGTAATCTGGAGGATCATGGATCACGGATTTCTTAGATCTAGCGTCAGACTGTTCAGGCTCCATCCTCGGACATTTCAACCGTCTTCGCTTCTTCCAGGCCGCCGGATTTACACTCGCCTCTTCACAAGGCCCCCTTGGAACTATGTTCAATGACAAGATGGACTGCCTGGAACATGTCATCCCGTGGAACGTTTGGGTTTCTGGAATATCGATAGTGTATCTCTCGTCTTCGAAGGATCATTCGCTCGGCTACAAGGAAACTCCCTCGCATACAACCATCACTTGGTCCTCCATGTGTTCCGTATCAGTGGTCTATCAACTAGACACCATCCCCCCCTTTCACAGCGCGATCTAGGTCACATAACTGAACGACACCGGCAGCTTGAGCCACGTCGAGGCCCAATATACAGCACGGTCGGATGCAGTAGCGGATGCATCTGTCACCCACAACTCAGACCCATCAACGGTCTCCAGCGACTCAGAAGCCAGTTAATTCTGCTGCCTGGCCGCTCGCCTCAACCACATGGCCGGCTTTTTTCAACGTCCGCTACACCACCACAACATGACTTATCACACATCGCGGCCGCATAAAATTTCCACAGCAAGACACACGGGGATGAAACATGAGTTTATCGCTCAATCGTTGGCGTAGTACTGAATCTTGAGCTTGGTGGTCATGAAATTCGGTTTGCAGCGGATGAATAGTGGTAGCCCCGTTTCTGACGACAGAACCCAAAGGGGTATGACCTGGTCAGAAACACCGGGTCAACTTCTCACAAATCATATCACCCGAATCGTACAGAATTCGATGAGCGATGTATTCCAGAAGTGTCCGCAGATGGGAGTTCTATCCAAAATTGCTGGTCCTACTTCTTGTTTTCTTTGCTCGGCAGTCCTGGAAAAGCTATTATTACCATTGGTGCCCGGTCATCGCTAAAAATTACCCAGAAGGAGCGTCCCGTCTTCAGGCTACGGAATATGGTCAGCGATCGACCGATGCCGCTGAGGCCCAGAACTATCTCAACTGGAGTGGGCGAGGTGCGTTTCACTCGGTCTTACCACGCAAGATAGGCGCAGGCTGACAACTGACATCGGTCCATCGTGTGAGAGCCCTTGGGTACCTACCTCTAAGTGAATCATGAAAGGAAAGAAAAAAAAAGCCATCAGCCACCGACCGCCTCGAGTCCGAGTCAAGAAAGCGAAAGATAGCTCCTTCTCGTTGCCTGACATGTCGAGTCTAGCACCCTATCGCATCCCAGTCTACGAGCATGAAGCGTGCTGCCGGTCAAACCAGACCCTCAAGGAACCCATCCAGCAGAAATCGCCCGCGTACAGCGGTATTCTCACTTCCCTGGTATTGCATCCCTAACCGGCAGATCGAACTCCTCGTCTTTCCGCACTTGCCTTTTTTTCTGGACGTGAACCTAGCTGTCTGCACTCCCTCTCTCACCACTCGGATTAGGACGTACCCCCCTTGCCTTCAAGAACTTGGCCGAAGTGCCATGACATTCTGGACTATTGCCGCCCAGACAACTTGAAGTAGATAAAGTGACACACAGACATCGTTGGCGTCGCTTGACATGCAGTACGCTGAATAACTTGCATGCATTTGATCTAACTTGTAACAGCCTCGTGATCTATTTAGGTACGGGACCGGATTTCCAAGTGTTGAAGCTGTACGGGCTTTCATGTGCCTGGGTAGCCTGACTTGATCCCATTCCGGACTTACAACGAGGAATTATCTTTGGGTCTCATGGGTAGGTAGCTAGGCAAAAAGGCTGTTCACCCTACATTTACATATGGGTGCCTACAGTACCTCTACGTAGCCGCCGAGCTGGTTTTCATGTCATTCGATCTTACATGAGCGTGGCTTGGGATTGGATTCAGGCGGGTACGCGAGAAGACATTGGATAAGGTACCTCTAGGTGCCATTAGCTCGGGTAACTTGGCAAGGCCCTTCAATCCTTAATCCTTCTCCTGCGTCTACCAAGACCATCACGAAACTCAGACCAAGCAGCGACAAACTTAACATGACAAGGAAAACATGAGAAACAAAAAACCGAGTAACAATACCGTAGGAAGATCTAGGCAGAAGTGTTTCGAACAAGGAACCATGAAAAACAAACACAAAATAAGAAACAAGGGAAAAGATAGCAACCTGCACGTCACACTCCATGTCTGCTTCCTCCCAGCAGTCCCAGGTCCACAGCCCGATGATACCTACCCTACCTACCCTACCTACCTACCCAACCTACCTACCTACCCTACCTACCTTTATCTACACCACACGTCCACACCACACCACACCATCGATGACATGCTCTACTGGCGTCAACCTAGGTAGTCAGCAGCCACCAGACCCTAACACTCCATACCTATCGCTCCATGTCTTCATCCTCCAGCTTGGCAAAATTGCATTGCAGCTAGCAGAAGCGATGAACTCGGAAGGCACTAAGTGGTGGGTGTGGTGGGTGATCACCTGGTAGTGTACATAAAGTGTGTATTTTCGAGACTAGGTACCTAAGTACCTACCTAGCTACCTCTACCTACCTACCTACCTACCTACCTACATACCTCCCTATCTACTTTGATGACCGCCAAGTTGTAGATATAGTAATATAGTAATGTAGGAAGTCTAGTATCAAGCATCCAGGAGCTGAGAACATGGGACAGTAAGATAAAACAAAGTGCAGAAGTGTTTGTGGGTGGTGCACTCGTGAGCTATGAAGTTTTTTTTTTTTTTTTTTTTTTTTTTTTTTTTTTTTTGGGGGGGGGGGGGGGGGGGG